GGTAATTAGCTAATTGGTGATTATCCAATTAGCTGATTGTCCAACGTAACAAGTTGTATAACAAAAGCTTTTCTCCTTTATGAGATGAACATCCTCCATTATTTGCAACCTTCTGCGACATTCACAACTGAAGATATTTGGCAAACCAGAAAGGTGGTAAGAAGTGGTAAAAAGTGGCGTTGCCGTGAGAAAAAAAAATTGGTGACAAGTCTAATTATGTTCGTAGGGGTCCTAACTACCATATCCCGTTGCTAAATCCTTATCACCCTTCAAATCCAACGGATTTTCACTTTTCCCCTGACTATATCGAGGAAATGATGAACCAGAGTTATATATTTTAATGTCGCCATGGGGCATGGCAAGTCCCATTCATTATAGCCCGATAGTTTCACTGTATCCCAATTATATGCTAATCCATGGTACGCAATTCTGTTGCTAAAATGTTACTGAAAATGGAAACATATTTTCACTAAACCAAATGGGCCAGTCCATTGGCATTGTGCCAAACTATAAGAAACAGGAAAATATTAACCAGGTTCTTCGAGTAATAGCGTTTAAAAACAACGTAAATTAGTTGACGATAAGTATAATTGATCAGGCAGAATGAAGCGGTTTAATTAAGTAATTGAACAACTGAACAAAACAGTGAGCTTACATGAACTTCGTGGTACTTGAGATTGCTTTTATGGAATGCCCAATAAATAATACAAACGCTACAAATATGACAAAATAATATTTATAGTAACTAGTAAGTCATGAGTTCATTTGCAGATCGTAGAGCTCTCCGGTTTTCAAGGAGTTAAGTTGATTAAAAGATAACTAAACATTTATTCGACGCCTCATATCCGAGTTCATACATATTATAACTTAATAATATCAGAATATGTTATTCTGTCCCACTGAGAATGCGAAAGTAGCTACTTTTGATTCTAAAGTTACAAACACTTAGCCAAGATTGATGGTTAATTTGATTTCTTATTATGGGTCGTATCTGCATTCTGCAGCCTAATTCATTAGTTTAGGATGTGGTAGCCTTGTGACGTTATTGTGACGTTATTGTGACGTTTATATACTCTAATATCTTGCACATTTTTATGTTATCGGTATGTCCTAAAGTGAAGACTATTTGATGCTGAGCTTGAGCAACCTCTTAATTTTCTTGAAAATCTTATATCTGTTCCGAACCACACACAAAGTAAAAATATCAACAGGAATAACCCCCTATGATAATTGTCGCGATATAAAAACTTAGAAACGGACAAACTTTGACCCTTGACAGATTGAAACTTGACGGCCTATGAAATCTCAAAATCTGTATTTTCGTAATAAATAAATAAATAAATATAAATGAAAGATTTTAATCGAAAACTAGTTAACAGTAAATCAAACAACGAAGCAAATATTTAGGCTTCTATGACGCATTGAAGTTAATTACAACACTACAAAATATGTACCTTATCGGACCTTATTTAGACGCTGGAGGCCCTATACGTTCATCTAATGTACGTTCAAATAAAGTCTGTTCATTTAAGGTCCGTCCAAGTTAAATTGTCCGTTGAATTTTTTTCAAAATTTCGAACTTTTTGTCCAGAATATATGACAACTTTATTGTGCCGTAAGTTAACGACAGAAAGGTTCTCCTTGGTCTCCCGGAGGCACATAAAACTCTACTAGTATATGATGTTTTCAAGGGTCACTTGGTGGAAAAAGTCAGCGAAATTATGGCACCCAACAACATAGTTCATGAGCTAGTCTCCGCCAACTTGACAAACTTGTTCCAGCCTCTAAATATTACGGTAAATCGTGTTGCCAAGGACATTGTCCGACGTTGTTATAATTCATATTACTCAGGGGAGGTAACGAAACAGTGCTAGGAAAGCTCCACGTGATGTTAAGGTTAAACTAAAGTTGTCTAAGATAAAACCCGCTTCACGCCGAATGGCTTGTAAAAGTTAACACTGAAATGCAGGACCGGGTAGTTTGATAAAAAAAAGGTTTCCATAAAGCTAGAAATCACTGATGCTTTAAGCATGGACTATTTCATGCACGAAAACCCATTTGATGAAGATGATTTGTGATAGTAGACACTAATCATATACACATATTTTAACATTTATACTGCTTAACGACTGCTATTCTTACTTACTTTATAAAAAATGGATTTAAAAATCATTTGCTGAAATTTTTAAAAAATTTAAAAAATGAAAAAAATTCGTATTTTTGATGGTTTTGAATGCCTTCTAGCGTTCATATTAATGTCCGTTCATACCGCAGAATAGCACACGTCTGCGTCTGCGAACTTAAATTATCATTGTTTTTTATAACAAGTTATAGAGTTTCGAAGTTTCATGCGGTTTCTATTCAGCAATTTTCTTTAGACACACATCGACAAGATTAAGTGGAGCTTAAGTCAACAGGTTTCCACTATCTTTGGAGAGGAACACGCATACGTACGATGATGAAGCTGAGGTATCTTGAACAATGATCTCAGAGTGTGTGTGTGTCTGTGTGTGTGTCTGTGTGTGTCTGTCTGTCTGTGTGTCTGTCTGTGTGTGTCTGTCTGTCTGTGCTCGTGTAATTTCCGAGCAGCTTAATCAAGAAAACGGTAGGAGTTACGGGACTGGTTTTTTCGGTATAGTTTCGACAAAACTCTGACAAAGCCAAATGAATAAGCTAATAAGGTTTTTTCAAATTGGTCGGTGGTAAGTGGTTTTATTGATGGTTTTGTACCACAAATGTGACATAAAATGGCTCTTTTTTTCTCCCTCCTCGCTCTCTCTCCCATTACTGCATATTATGTAGCGTTGGTACATGAATCGTAATTAAGTTAGCCACAAGATAATACTATAAGCTTATTACTTTATTAGGGGGGATTGCACTCATTGCGGTCTGTTTGGACTGCAGAGAGAGAGTTCATACTTTCATACGACAATGTTATGCGTGTTTTAAAATATAATAAGCGGGTGTGGTGCGGAGTTAACAAGGATTAATTTCTAAAATGATTTAAATAAAAATGGAAAGCGGTTCAAGACGGGAGTTATGAGGTGTAATAGTCGTGGTACAGGGTGCACAGACCTTATGATCATGGAATGTGGTGCCTAATAATGACATAATTATCCACGAGAAAGAACTGATTATGCGATTATTTACGTCTTCAGTTTACAAATCAGTGAAACACAAACATACTATGCGGGGGGACTACAGACCCCCTCAAAGTCCTTTACAACGTTACTGCCAGGTTACATAGCACTGAAAGTGAAAATCAATATCATCAGAAATTCAAATTCAAAGCAATGCCGTCATAGTATTACAAAGCCCCAAAACGCAACAATGCTTCAAACTCTATTATAACATGAGCATGCAAATAACATAAATCATCTAAAAACTGAAAAGGGTAAAATAAAATAAGAATATAAACTAGGTCAACTAAATTGTACTAATACAACAACTCATCTCACCAAAGAGATCCCTAGACACGCACGAAATAACTCAAATAATGTAAATAAGGTGAAACTAGGAACTCAATCTAGGTTCCAGGTACAACCACACGCGGGAAGCGTGAGCCGAAGAGAAAAGGCACATTACACTCAAGATTCAAGGTCCAAATTAATAAAAACGATATATGAAGGACAAACAAATATGAACTACTCCAACATATCAACAGTCTACACATTCCTAATCAAATATTTTGATAACACGATCGTAAATATCTACCCCAAATTTACACCAGATATTAAGTTTAGAATTGTAAAACTTCAAAAACTTTTTGCGCAAGGCAGCAGGAATAAAGCCTTGATTTACAAGCTTCTTAACTAAGTCACAAATGTTACTATAAAATCCCTCTACTGTGGTATTAATGTTAGCGAATCTAACAAGCTGAGAAATAAATACCCCGTAAGAAAGATTCTTTGGGATATTCCCATCTAAAAAAGGATAAGAAATGACATTAAAACTATAGTCTTTCCGTTTATCATAAAGTGTTACTCTAAACTTGCCCCTGTAAATGCTAATACATAAATCTAGATAATTGCACTTACGCGGTGATACATTAGTACAGTTCACAATCATCTCACTAGGATAGATATCTCCTAAAATATTCCCTAATAGACCACTATCATTAAACGAAATAAGATCATCTTGATATCGAAATATATTTTCCAAACTCTTAAGTGCAACCTCATCACCATTTTCTATGAGTTTCTTGATATACTCATATTGGATACGTGAGGGCACTCCGAGTATAATTGCTGACCTAATGCGGGTTTTGACTCAGCGGGTAAATACTCATACCCTTTTTAACTGCGGCAGTGAAATCCCGGCCGAAGGCCGGGTTACACTTACACTGTCACTAGTTGCATTAATAAAATGACAGTTAAGTTAAGTTGTGAATTTGGAATTAAAATAAAAATATGAACTTTGCTATACTAAATTTGTTAATCATAACTGTGACCAAAGTTTGTCAGCTGATAGTAATATATGACGTTAATTTGTTACAACTTTTCTCATGATGGGTGGTACTGGTTGACGTAGTTAATTACGCTACGTGTTTTCGTGAGGCAAACGGTGACAGTCATGGGATATAATAAGAGAAGTTCGATTCAGTTAGCCATTATTTTTCTATTTGCTCCCTCGTCAATTATCCGTCCAAAATCTGAATTTCCAAAATCAAAGTGAACATGATCGTGACTTCTAATTCTATGGTTCTAATTTCCCAAAGCCCTTTTCTGGCGGTTTTGAATTCGTATCATTCTTAATCATAGAAAGGTTAATTGTACTTATGAAATGACTGACCGTGTGGTTAGAAATTGAATCTATATCGTTTTAAATTTATTGGCTGCAGTTTCTCCTCATTATAAATAATAATCGTCTATATCTTTCATCCTGTGAGTGGGAGACTGAGATACCATAAATAAGATGTGCGTTGATCGTGACGAGATCATGCTGTCACTATTCCGTTGTTAGTCTAACAAAAATTAACTACAACTCTCTGATGCTTCAGCAGAACTATGGTCTTCCTGAAATTGATGGTGTTCTCTGTGGCGATCATGCTCGCTTCAAGCAAGAAGGGGGGCTCCGCAGTTTCTATCGAGGAGTTACGTGAACTGTTGGTGTCCTCTTTGCAGACGACTATATCTTTAACAGCTCTAGTCGAACAGCAGACAAAGAGGATCAGTGAAATTACAAACTTCGTAGACGAAGCAAAAGAAGAGATCAAGGACTTGAAAAGTAAGATTGAAAGTCTGGGGCAGACAAACGAAGAACAAACAGGGATCGAGGAGAAATTAGTGAAGGAAATTGAAGCATTGAAAGAAACATGTGCCGAGGAAACAAAGTAAGTAAACAGTTTACAGCATTGCTATTAGTACTAGTTATTGTTAATTGCTAATGCTATTTGAATTCACAGGGTAAATCCTATTGGCATTGCAATTAATTCCAATTGAAGTTGATTTATAAAAACTTGTAACCTTCCTCATCTCAGAGCCAGAAAGAATGACGTGATGGTGGTAAGCGGAGAGGAGGATCTGAGGGAGGAGAGCTGTGCGAAAGTGTGTGCTGGAACCTCAGTCAGGGGAGCAACCAACTGGGTGGATTACAGCTCGAGCGGAATCTACACAGACGTTGACATCAGCAAGTGTGGGTTCGTGACAATTCCAACTGTGACTTCCTCTCTTGAGGGCACCACCTCTCATTGGACTACGACAGGGAGCTCGGAGATTTACAGCGTGACTACCGGCACTTTTAGGATCTACCTGATGGCTGCACATGGCAGAGGCGGTGGTGCGAATAGATTGGGTTGGAATGTGGAGTGGATCGCGGTGGGTTATACCTGCTGAAGTTTCTACTGGATCCAAATGCATGAGACTTTATTTGATTGTTAAACTTAAAGTTTTTACATTAAAGAAAAGAATGGTAATAAAAAACTTTTAATCGGCTGATAAATATTAAACCAAAAAAAAAATTAATTTTTTAATAAGATGAGTATCTATATATATGCCTATGAGTATTGCTGAAAGCACAGTGTAAGGCCTATGTCAAATATTAATGTTTAATAATGGATGTTTATAGTTTTAAATTTTATTGCACGAACAGTAGTTTTATTGAAAAATACCATTTACTAATTATTCCATCGCCGGCAAAAATTGAAATAAAAGTGAAATTAGACTTAGAGGTCACATTAACATTAAAAATGACAATGGCGATTGATGTTGAATTGGTTTCTTTTTTGTTTGAAGTCTAAACTTACTCATACTGGGCGCCGCATTAACGGGTGATACTCGTAAGTATAAACTTACTGGGCGCCGCACAGCCTGTTATCCGGAAAATCAGCCTAGATCAATCACAGTGCTGGCAAACACGACTGCCGCCAATATACTCACTATACTATTTAGTACCCCATATACTTTTATACTTGATTCACGATGTCAATCCTTCGCAGCTCGGCGAGGCCCAGTGGTGCATTTCGCCGATCTCTGTGGTTGCGAGAAAAATTATTTGATGCGCGGCGCGGCCCAGTAGTGCATCGCGCTACAACTATTATACCCCCTTTACTGTTTTCCACTTCCAGGCATTAAGATTCATCAAATGTCGTTCAGCAGGCATATTTAAAATTCAAAACATTATAGTTCAATGTCAAAGATGAAAGGAATAAGAAATAGTTATGCGGAGGATTTTAAGAAATTTGCGCAAAATACGCGCCAGCACTGTTAAACTTATACGAAACAAACACAAATTCACAATTCAGCTGTTCAATTTAAGTATCAAAATCACCTAAAGGATATTATCAGAAAGTATTGGTTACCTCAGGCCATCATGTTTATAAACATATAGCCGAATAGAGATTAGGCGGAATGACAGGCTGAGCGCGGCCCAGTAACACTTCTACTAGTCTAATGAGGCACACAGGAAGATATCCCGGGATGTTAGTATAGCTAATTTCAAAGTTTTAAAAAATGTAATTAACGAGGAGAGTATCCCATATCCTTTACTCCAGGCGCATGGCTCCACCGTGTAGGTGCGCACCCACCTAAAGGATGTTGCACCCACTGATCAGTTTGGACTTGCACCCACCCAAACCACAAACGATTTGAAAATTTTCACACAAAAATTGTCAAATTTTGTATAAACTACGGGTCAATTGACTTCTGTACTCGCCCCACGAAAAACCTCACCGAACCTCCACGCGGTGTGGGGTGGGTGGCTCGAACGGGAGGTGCATGGGTGTTTCTAACCTATGCAAAGGAAGGGACTAGCCATCTCTACAACAAGGAAAGGCTCTAATAGCCTCTACTAACCTTAGAACCGCAGCATAACCGCTTTTCCCACAGGCAAATAACACCTTCCGCAGGAAACTAACACGGTCACAGGCCCCCACATGACGTGTAACCCCAGGATTTGGTTTTGGATCGGACACTGAAAACAACGATAGAGGAGCAGTCTACACGCTCACAGGCTTCCACGTCTCGTGTACCCTAGGATTTGGTTTTGGATCGGACACTCAAAACAACGATAGAGGAGCAGTCTACACGCTCACAGGCTACCATGTCTCGTGTAACCCCAGGATTTGACACGTTCACAGGCTACCATGTCTCGTGTAACCCCAGGATTTGGTTTTGGATCGGACACTCAAAACAACGATAGAGGAGCGGTCTACACGCTCACAGACTACCACGTCTCGTGTAACCCCAGGATTTAACACGCTCACAGGCTACCAAGTCTCGTGTAACCTTAGGATTTAACACGCTCACAGGCTACCACATCTCGTGTAACCCTAGGACTCTAACACTTAATAGACTCTAACACGCTCACAGGCTTCCACGTCTTGTGTACCCTAGGATTTAGTTTTGGATCGGACACTCAAAACAACGATAGAGGAGCGGTCTACACGTTCACAGGCTACCATGTCTCGTGTAACCCCAGGATTTGACACGTTCACAGGCTACCATGTCTCGTGTAACCCCAGGATTTGGTTTTGGATCGGACACTCAAAACAACGATAGAGGAGCGGTCTACACGCTCACAGACTACCACGTCTCGTGTAACCCCAGGATTTAACACGCTCACAGGCTACCAAGTCTCGTGTAACCTTAGGATTTAACACGCTCACAGGCTACCACGTCTCGTGTAACCCTAGGACTCTAACACTTAACAGACTCTAACACGCTCACAGGCTTCCACGTCTCGTGTACCCTAGGATTTGGTTGTGGATCGGACACTCAAAACAACGATAGAGGAGCGGTCTACACGCTCACAGACTACCACGTCTCGTGTAACCCCAGGATTTAACACGCTCACAGGCTACCAAGTCTCGTGTAACCTTAGGATTTAACACGCTCACAGGCTACCACGTCTCGTGTAACCCTAGGACTCTAACACTTAACAGACTCTAACACCGTCACAGGCTTCCACGTCTCGTGTACCCTAGGATTTGGTTTTTGGATCGGACACTCAAAACAACGACAGAAGAGTGGTCTACAGTGACGTTACAGGAACATTGCACACTCCTACGAGTTGCATGTAGCAGGCCATGACCGTCCCTGGAAGTCCCTGTCTCCTCATCGTTAACCCGTAAGGGGTTGCACCAGGGGCGGTGGTAACAGAACTTCAAGACTCTCGGAGTCTGTTGTCGATATCTATGTATAATATAATTATGGTATATAATTTGGGAGTCTCTCTCTCTAGCAGCAGATGTTGGAGAATGGGGACGCGTTGTGAAAGCCACCGCAAGGAAGGCTTACAGTCGACGCCGACCAATCAAAAGAAGACTTCTGTACTCAAACTCAAAGTCAATTGAGACTTTTTTGAGAGATATTAAAATACGTTTAGGAGAGTAAAATTCCAAAATTTTCCAGTGGGCTTCGCCCCCCCCCCCCCCCCCGCCGTGCGCCAAGCTGCACCAACCCTTACCCAAAGATTTTGAGCTGGAGCCATGCCTGCTTTACTCATGGTATTGGTAAGTAAGTATGAAGTATAGTATCCTTTACTCGTGGTAAGTAAGTATAAAGTTACTAGGTAGTAACGGTATCCTCGTTGTAAGGCGTGGTGGTCCGTCTTAACAAGAGAAAAAGCTACTTGAAGACAGTTTAGAAAAGTTATTTTTGTAAACATTCGTTCACATTAATTACAATTGTCAACACTTAATTAACCTGCATTATAATTATATTTTTTACAATAACAAAATCACTTAACACTGTTCATACACGCTGCTAAAAAGAAGATCTTTACCGACAGGGTCATCATTACATGTAGTGAGGTACCCTACATGTACATGTTGTCACATCTAACTACGCTGTAGTTCGTTACAAATCATTCTACGAAACATGCACAGAATACTTAATAATATAGTCCCGCAACAATCATACCAGTAGATAATACAATCCATCAGAGATCTCTACAAAAGTAAATACAGCCATCCTAAACACAGTAAATTTAATTTATCGTATTTCAAGTAGTTACAAAGCAGAGTTTAAATCTTTAGTCTAACTCTAAAAAGAAATCATGCTCTGAAGGATCCGTAATTGAATAAAAAACAATCCATCGACTTAATGAAAACAAACAAAAAAGAAAAATATGAAAAGCACGCATAAAATCACAGTTATATCATTGAAATTACAGACAGCGACAACAATTGTCCCAGCATTTGTCGTCTTTGTTAACCGTGAATCGTTTTTTGTTTGTTTTCCTCAGCTGGATTGAAAACCGCTCTAATGTTACCTGAGATAATTATTAATTCATTAATTAATTACGCTAATTAACGGGATAGTTGTGGTAAATATTAGCTTATAACGAGTACGATGTTAAAACGAGCTGATAATGACAGTGCTGCCTTTACAACAACCCCTCCCAATGAATGTGAAAACCGACAGATTTTATTCTCGCTGCCATTTTGCGTTTGGGTACAGTAACGGTATTTTAAATTGACATAATTTCCTTTTGTTTGGAAAAAGAAGACACTCAGTACTGGTCCACTCCTGGCTCACTCTACCCAATATGGGGTTTTGTGCAGGAGTACATGATTTTCAGCAAATATAATCAATACAAAAACAATGATTCTAGGCGCGTACTCATCACCTTCCAATAATTACAATATCGCATATCTATGAAGGCTGAAAGTAACCCTAGGTAGTGCGCCATCGACAGTGAGCCGCGCGTGCCGACTGTAGGATGGTTTTTTAGCGCTAATTTCGGCCAGCACAATTTTCTTCAAACAAATAAATATTGAGTATCCTTCCCGACCTCCAATTGCAACAAAAATTGGTAAGCTTACTCATAGACTTACAAGGAAAGTGTCCGAAAAATTTAAAGCATATCCAATTAACAAACATTATGTTACAGCTAAAAGCAGCGTATTTTGCCCCATTTTGATCACTATATCAACTCCGATATCCACCAAATTTTTCGGACAGTTGTAAAAGCCCTATTGGAAGGTCGTCGCCAATTTTCAGAATGATCTCATTTAAGGAACTGAAGATAAATCCGAATAATACGACAAAAATGGTCAAATTTGGACGAATTTGGTCAAATTACGCGACTTTTACAGCTACTTTTGCTCCAAAAGCCGCGCACCATCAAATATGGCACTTAGGCGAAATTCACTGATCTTTTCAAAAAGGTATGACAAATTTGGTATTGTGAAAATTCTCACAGTCTCTAGAAAACACTGGTACAAAAATTTTTAAAATCCGAGCAAGTTTATTTTTATCGTGCACCTCCTAGTAACCCCTTCATTACAAAATACAGATGAGGACAAAAAGCAGCATTCAAACACAGTTGTGGAATGTGTATGTTTATTACAATATAATATATCAGCTATGCTAGCTTGCCATACTACTAAAACCATTTAATTAATCAGTATGTAGAACGAAGAAGGGTATCTGTGAAGTAAAGTACAAGATATTAATATTATTAGTAGTAATATTATTAGTAATATTAGTTATGTTATTATCAAAAGAAAGAAGGTCACAAGGAGCACTCCTATAAATAACATATATAATATCTGGGATATCTGACTTCTGAAGTGAACTAAATTAAGTAAAACATAAGAAAAGAGAAGAAGATGCAGTTTAAGGTATTACAACATGCTTAAATAACAGTTTAAAGAGTGGTATGACGATATTTATATCTTTCTTTAATTGAGGCAGAGGAAGACATGTCACCAAAAATTCAACCATAACATATGAGATCAGTAAATGAAGGATTAAGTTAATAACTCATCACTTAACTGACTAAACAATTAAAATATTGGTTAATTAAGTAAGTTAATTAACTAATTAGTTAACTAATTAAGTTAAATTCTGCTGCGCTTACTTACCCGTCGTGATGGTGTATGTAGCGTTTCTTAAATTCGCGATATAATAGCTGAAAAAGAAGAGTGCTACTCCGGGGCGTGCTAACGAATGGCGGTAAGATTCTCGCCAGTAGAGTACAGTAGTATAATAGTAACTACTACTTATACTAGTAATGCTGCAAATTGCTGCTTATATAAAAGGGATAGGTCCCATCTGGAGATGTATTTTAAAGATTTTAGCTTTAGGAGAAAAAGCAAAAGACCAAAATTCAATATTTTGTTGGCTCATTTTATGACCGGAGTTCCCTTCTCTGGACAAGTTGGGGCCAGCCGGCCTCAATGCTGGCCAGTGGTCGTCAAGTGGTGGCCAGTGGTCATCAAGTGGTGGCCAGTGGTCATCAAGTGGTGGCCAGTGGTCATCAAGTGGTGGCCAGTGGTCATCAAGTGGTGGCCAGTGGTCGTCAAGTGGTGGCCAGTGGTCATCAAGTGGTGGCCAGTGGTCATTAAGTGGTGGCCAGTGGTCATCAAGTGGTGGCCAGTGGTCGTCAAGTGGTGGCCAGTGGTCATCAAGTGGTGGCCAGTGGTCATCAAGTGGTGGCCAGTGGTCATTAAGTGGTGGCCAGTGGTCATCAAGTGGTGGCCAGTGGTCATCAAGTAGTGGTCAGTGGTCAGCAAGTGGTGGCCAGTGGTCGGTAGGTGGTTCTAGCTACCGCTTATTTAGTGAACTCTGGTCGCCTCCAGCACAGCACAAGTCGTTACAAGTTTAGATTTTCCCGTTCCTTGGAAACATTTGTCACCTAATTGTGACGAGTCTGATTCATCGCTACAAATCTGGTAAACTTGGCATCCGGCCTATTTATAAAGCAAAGAGTTCATTCACACAAAAAGGAATCGGCTATGCTTTCAATAAAAACACATCCCCAGATACAATAAAAGATAAAAAGAGAAAGTGCAGATATCAAGGTTACAAGATTAACAGCTAACCCTGTGACAGTAACAGTAACAGTAACAGTAACAGTAACAGTAACAGTAACAGTAACAGTAACAGTAACAGTAACAGTAACAGTAACAGTAACAGTAATTACCTGAGTTTCTTCTGGTGAGGGTAACACTACCATCCGCGTCTTTTTCCTTCTGTTTTTGAAGAACTTTGAAAATCCCACGTTCGGATCCTGAATAAAATGGACTTTTGTAATTGTGGAAATTTACATTCTTTAAATCATTATTGAGGACTTGATACCGATAAGAAATGAAGAACTAGCTAATCCTCACCATGAAGGCGGAGAAGACGATACAACTCCCATTCTCCATGATACTGGGTATCCTCTCAATGTCCTGGTACACGTGGGCCCACTCTACTTTCCACTGGTTCATTACGTCATCATACTCTGATAACACACACCTGAGGGTGGGGTGGTTAGTCATCATACTCTGATAACACACACCTGAGGGTGGGGTGGTTAGTCATCATACTCTGATAACACACACCTGAGGGTGGGGTGGTTAGTCATCATACTCTGATAACACACACCTGAGGGTGGGGTGGTTAGTCATCATACTCTGATAACACACACCTGAGGGTGGGGTGGTTAGTCATCATACTCTGATAACACACACCTGAGGGTGGGGTGGTTAGTCATCATACTCTGATAACACACACCTGAAGGTGGGGTGGTTAGTCATCATACTCTGATAACACACACCTGAGGGTGGGGTGGTTAGCTATCATACTCTGATAACACACACCTGAGGGTGGGGTGGTTAGTCATCATACTCTGATAACAGGGATTGGTTATCCTTTTAATTCACATGCGGTTATCTGATGAGATCAATTAGCACAGTCACCATTACTGATTAGCTAAAAGTGTACTGACCGTTGGTCCGTTAGGATGAAGGTAGATTTAGTGGTAAGTAAGCTGTGGTGATAGTAGGTATCTGACCAATGGTTGTGTCTTGTAACCTCACTTAGCAGGTACTTTCCTGAACAATAAACATAGTGAGTAGTGACACAATGTACAAAACAGTACACTGGTCATATCAGATAACCAGGTGACCAGGTAACCAGGTGACCAGGTAACCCAGGTAACCAGGTAACCAGGTGACCAGGTAACCAGGTAACCAGGTGACCAGGTTACCAGGTGATCAGGTAACCAGGTAACCAGGTAACCAGGGTACCAGGTGACCAGGTAACCAGGTTACCAGGTGATCAGGTAACCAGGTAACCAGGTAACCAGGTGACCAGGTTACCAGGTGATCAGGTAACCAGGTAACCAGGTAACCAGGTGACCAGGTAACCAGGTAACCAGGTGACCAGGTTACCAGGTGATCAGGTAACCAGGTAACCAGGTAACCAGGGTACCAGGTGACCAGGTAACCAGGTGACCAGGTAACCAGGTAACCAGGTTACCAGGTGACCAGGTAACCAGGTGACCAGGTAACCAGGTGACCAGGTAACCAGGTGACCAGGTGACCAGGTAACCAGGTGACCAGGTAACCCAGGTAACCAGGGTACCAGGTAACCAGGTGACCAGGTTACCAGGTGATCAGGTAACCAGGTAACCAGGTAACCAGGTGACCAGGTAACCAGGTGACCAGGTTACCAGGTGATCAGGTAACCAGGTAACCAGGTAACCAGGGTACCAGGTGACCAGGTAACCAGGTGACCAGGTAACCAGGTAACCAGGTTACCAGGTGACCAGGTAACCAGGTGACCAGGTAACCAGGTGACCAGGTAACCAGGTAACCAGGTAACCAAGTGACCAGGTGACCAGGTAACCAGGTGACCAGGTAACCAGGTAACCAGGTGACCAGGTTACCAGGTGACCAGGTAACCAGGTAACCAGGTTACCAGGTGACCAGGTAACCAGGTAACCAGGTTACCAGGTGACCAGGTAACCAGGTGACCAGGTGACCAGGTAACCAGGTGACCAGGTAACCCAGGTAACCAGGGTACCAGGTAACCAGGTGACCAGGTTACCAGGTGATCAGGTAACCAGGTAACCAGGTAACCAGGTGACCAGGTAACCAGGTAACCAGGTGACCAGGTTACCAGGTGATCAGGTAACCAGGTAACCAGGTAACCAGGGTACCAGGTGACCAGGTAACCAGGTGACCAGGTAACCAGGTAACCAGGTTACCAGGTGACCAGGTAACCAGGTGACCAGGTAACCAGGTGACCAGGTAACCAGGTAACCAGGTAACCAAGTGACCAGGTGACCAGGTAACCAGGTAACCTGGTAACCAGGTAACCAGGTGACCTACCTTCACTTTGCGTAGTGTTGTAGGGTCTGAGGATCTTGTCTGGTTGAATGTAACGAGGATGCCTCAACACCATTATACCCTCATCTATCTGAAAGAAGTAGTCAATTAGTGGTGAACTAATGATCAATTAGAATAGTACTATATAATGTTTATTCTTGATGGCCCCCTCCTCATTTAACCCTCAATCACGTTTCCGATCATTCGGCTGAGGAGAAATTACACAAATGTGCAATTTTGCATAAATCGAATGGACCCTTAGCTACTCCCTAGACTAGACCCTGGTAGATTAGTGGTATAATCGTACCATTTCTATGTTAAAACTGTGAGCTGGACAAACAGGAGATAATATTACCACACCACGTGTGTTACCTGACTTAGTTACCTGGGTGTGATGGTGTATGCCGTCTATAGTGTATGTGATCATGTCATTAATACCTCCCAGAGGTCTCGTCACAGCACCTACCAGTCCTTTACCCACACCCTTCAAGAACCTGACAGGTAGTTATAATTACAGTTGAAATGGAAACAAAAAATAAAATGTTTATCCTAAACTTGAAAGTCTGACAGTGAACTTGCAAATCTGGAAACTAGAAGCCGAAAACAATGTCACATAAAGAAAGCAGCTCTAGTCTCTACTAGTATACTGCTACTACTAGTATACTTTACTATAATATATCAGCTCACCCTTCCACCCCGTCCTGAGCTGCTCCCTCAACTGGTTTCACCACAACACCTGTCACACCGTGATACAGCCCCATCAGGAAACTCTTACCTCCTCGAACCAAACCTGGAGGGTAATACCCCGTTATTATCACCTATAACCTGTTATTGACGGTTAGGTAATAATACAATTGTTTTTAAATTGAGGGCTGATCGGCTGGAATTGTACCTTCTCCGATATGAGCAGGTTTCTGAGCCATTCTCCTAGCCCTTTGTTTCTGGTACTCCTCATCAAATGTTAGCTTAGCAAGACCCTTTCCTAGACTCCTTGATATCTGAACATAGCAATTATAAACACATTATAATATACACATTATAAACCATGTTATAAGCTCATTTCTAATAATTTTTTTTTAAAAAGTGGCTTTTTAACCAGGTAACCAGGTAACCTACTTTACTGGCAGCTCCCACGATACCGCCTACACTGTGCCGCAAGAAACTGTTCATCCCTATCACTACTCCTTCAGCAAACTCGCGGGGACCTTGTACCATTCCCTGTAGAGAGAGAGAATTAAACTTGTACTATCTTACTATGGTGGTTACTACTACATTCCCTGTAGAGAGAGAGAGTTTTACTTGTACTATCTTACTATGGTGCGGGCATAAACCTCCACATTCTTTATAATTTAGATCTCGTAACAAATAAATTAATTAAACACTATCTTACTTTCTAACTACCCCGTACCTGTTAAGGTACAGTACCTGCTAAGGTATAGTATATAAGGTACAGTACCTGATAAGGTATAGTATATAAGGTACAGTACCTGATAATGTATAGTATATATAAGGTACATTACCTGATAAGGTATAGTATATAAGGTACAGTACCTGATAAGGTATAGTATATAAGGTACAGTACCTGATACGGTATAGTACCTGATAAGGTATAGTATACAAGGTATAGTACCTGATAAGGTATAGTATATAAGGTACAGTACCTGATAAGGTATAGTATATAAGGTACAGTACCTGATAAGGTATAGTATATAAGGTACAGTACCTGATAAGGTATAGTATAAAAGGTACAGTACCTGATAAGGTATAGTATATAAGGTACAGTACCTGCTAAGGTATAGTATACAAGGTACAGTACCTGATAAAGTATAGTATATAAGGTACAGTACCTGATAAGGTATAGTATACAAGGTACAGTACCTGATAAGGTATAGTATATAAGGTACAGTACCTGATAAGGTATAGTATATAAGGTACAGTACCTGCTAAGGTATAGTATACAAGGTACAGTACCTGATAAGGTATAGTATATAAGGTACAGTACCTGATAATGTATAGTATATATAAGGTACAGTACCTGATAAGGTATAGTATATAAGGTACAGTACCTGATAAGGTATAGTATATAAGGTACAGTACCTGATACGGTATAGTACCTGATAAGGTATAGTATACAAGGTATAGTACCTGATAAGGTATAGTATATAAGGTACAGTACCTGATAAGGTATAGTATATAAGGTACAGTACCTGATAAGGTATAGTATATAAGGTACAGTACCTGATAAGGTATAGTATAAAAGGTACAGTACCTGATAAGGTATAGTATATAAGGTACAGTACCTGCTAAGGTATAGTATACAAGGTACAGTACCTGATAAGGTATAGTATATAAGGTACAGTACCTGATAAGGTATAGTATACAAGGTACAGTACCTGATAAGGTATAGTATATAAGGTACAGTACCTGATAAGGTATAGTATATAAGGTACAGTACCTGCTAAGGTATAGTATACAAGGTACAGTACCTGATAAGGTATAGTATAAAAGGTACAGTACCTGATAAGGTATAGTATACAAGGTACAGTACCTGATAAGGTATAGTATATAAGGTACAGTAACTGATAAGGTACAGTACCAGATAAGGTATAGTATATAAGGTACAGTACCTGATAAGGTATAGTATACAAGGTACAGTACCTGATAAGGTATAGTATATAAGGTACAGTAACTGATAAGGTACAGTACCTGATAAGGTATAGTATATATAAGGTACAGTACCTGATAAGGTATAGTATAAAAGGTACAGTACCTGATAAGGTATAGTATATAAGGAACAGTACCAGATAAGGTATAGTATATAAGGTACAGTACCTGATAAGGTATAGTATACAAGGTACAGTACCTGATAAGGTATAGTATATAAGGTACAGTAACTGATAAGGTACAGTACCTGCTAAGGTATAGTATACAAGGTACAGTACCTGATAAGGTATAGTATATAAGGTACAGTACCTGATAAGGTATAGTATATAAGGTACAGTACCTGATAAGGTATAGTATATAAGGTACAGTACCTGATAAGGTATAGTATATAAGGTACAGTACCTGATAAGGTATAGTATACAAGGTATAGTACCTGATAAGGTATAGTATATAAGGTACAGTACCTGATAAGGTATAGTATATAAGGTACAGTACCTGATAAGGTATAGTATATAAGGTACAGTACCTGATAAGGTATAGTATAAAAGGTACAGTACCTGATAAGGTATAGTATATAAGGTACAGTACCTGCTAAGGTATAGTATACAAGGTACAGTACCTGATAAGGTATAGTATATAAGGTACAGTACCTGATAAGGTATAGTATACAAGGTACAGTACCTGATAAGGTATAGTATATAAGGTACAGTACCTGATAAGGTATAGTATATAAGGTACAGTACCTGCTAAGGTATAGTATACAAGGTACAGTACCTGATAAGGTATAGTATAAAAGGTACAGTACCTGATAAGGTATAGTATATAAGGTACAGTACCAGATAAGGTATAGTATATAAGGTACAGTACCTGATAAGGTATAGTATACAAGGTACAGTACCTGATAAGGTATAGTATATAAGGTACAGTAACTGATAAGGTATAGTACCTGATAAGGTATAGTATATAAGGTACAGTACCTGATAAGGTATAGTATATAAGGTACAGTACCTGATAAGGTATAGTATATAAGGTACAGTACCTGATAAGGTATAGTATAAAAGGTACAGTACCTGATAAGGTATAGTATATAAGGTACAGTACCAGATAAGGTATAGTATATAAGGTACAGTACCTGATAAGGTATAGTATAAAAGGTACAGTACCTGATAAGGTATAGTATACAAGGTACAGTACCTCACTAAGGCAGACAAGGGTGGTGCAACCCTTATTATCGACCCTGACCTCATCAAGCAACGGACACTGGAGAAACTGGAAAATCAGGAACTATATGAAAAGTTGGACTGTGACCCTACCCAACAGCTGTATGAGAAACTCTTCAAGCACTGGGTACAGGGAAAAGAAGAAGGACTGATATTAGCAAGGGATGCGAAAGAAGTGATGGGTGTTTCTGACAACACCAGAGCAGACCAAACTGGACCAACAAACCGCCCCAGTACCCTCCCACACTATCGCCCTGGACAGCCGTATTTCTACCCTGCTTTTAAAATTCATAAGCTGAAGAAAGAAGACCTCATACCAGGGGCAAAACCACCAGCAAGACTCATTACCGCCCTCCACGAAGGAGCCAGCAGACGACCGGATGTCTTCCTAGCTGATAAATACCTACGTCAACTAGAAAGGGATTTTTGCGAAGACCTTCTTATTGATAATAGAGACGCCTTAGTCTGGCTCGACAACATCAACAATACCCTGGACACAGAACTCAAAAGCAACATTAAAGCATTCACATTTGATTACAAAGCTTTATATGATTCATTGAGTCCCCACCTTACAATCCAAGCTTTGAAGGTGGCCATGGAAGAAAAGAGACCAGAATGGTCCGCCAAATTCAAGGAGTGGTTGATAAGAAGTGTTGAACTCAGCTTTGAGTCGTCTATAGGCAAATTTAACGGAGAGTGGTACAGACAGAAACGTGGAGTACCGACAGGAGGCAGTATCTGTGTACAACTTGCAAACATAGCAGTATACCATGTCATGCGTGAGCAAGTCTATACAGACACGGAACTAATGGAACCTGTAAAATCGGTCAAGAGATACATAGACGACGGCTGTGGAGTATTCCATGGTACGAAAAGACAGTTTTCAAAATTCATCGCGACTGTCAACTCAAGGCTAGCAGAACTTGGCCTCCACATTGATGAGAACATCATAGAAGACAACAATGTTTATGTGTCGTTCTTAGACATCAAATTTTGTTTCGACACCGCAGGTGATCTTCAGACAGACCTCCATGTTAAAGAGACTGATGCCCGCTCCTACCTGTACTTCGGTTCCCACCACCCGAACCATACATTCAGCAGCATAGTCTATAGTGCATGCCTGAGACTCCGGCGAATCATCAATGATAACGACAGACTCCGAAAACAAATTGATGAATTAAAAACCTTTTTCTTCCAATCCAACTACCCTAAAACTATGGTAGATAACATCAGTGAAAAGGTTAAAGGCTTTGAAAGATGTCTCAAACCACTGGACAACTCAAACAGCAATGTCCTGGTACCAAAGTCTCCAGAACCAGCAGTCCGCGTTATTTCAACATTTGGCAGTGATCAAGAGTTAGTAGAATCGGTGCAAAGATTGGAACCAGAACTCAGTAGAACCAGGAGCTTCTCAGGATTATCTGGTTCCCATACAAGTGGAAACACCCCAGGCTCCCCAATATCATCTAGAGCCGGTACACCACGCCCTATCTTCAAATTCGTCAGACGTACTGGAACATCATTTAGAAGGAAGTTAGTCAAAGCAAAACAGTTTGCGGATGACTTAACCCAACCTCACACAAGACCATGTGGGGGCAGACACTGCGGTACCTGTAACATCATATCTCCACATCCGTCAATAACAGTCAATGGACAGCGAGCCAAAGCAGTGTCTGGTACATGTGTCAGCTACAATGTTGTATACCTCTTCAGCTGCCAACTTTGTAACATGTGTTATGTAGGAAGAACGGTGCAGCCCCTCAGGGCACGAGTAAACGAACATCGCGCCCATTACTACAAACTCATTTCGGACAATACGTTTGTCCCTGAAGAAAACGACGACGGATTCAGCTTGGGTAAACACCTTCTAGAAGTTCATAACATGAAACAACGTGACAATTTCAACCAGGCTTATAAAGTGTCAATTCTCAGTAATAGTAGCCCAAGAACTCTAGAAGTGGATGAACACCGTTATATTCAGAAACTAAGAACTATACGTCCATTGGGGCTCAATGCCGTGGACCCGTTTGGGATTCCATTATTGGATTTATCTTAAATGTTTTCTATTGCATTGGGGCACAAGAGTTATGTTTTTAAAAAATATTCATATCGTTTTAAGTTGTGTCATTTCATTTCCAATGTTACACTTTGTAGGAACTGATATTAACCGAGTTTCTGATTCAGGATGTTACTGAAGATAGTAATGAAAATGTTTTAACACCTCAGTACTGTGTTTTACTACAGCTCAACCTGCTCAGTCTGACTATTTGGGAATTTAAACTCTTGGTACCTGATAAGGTATAGTATACAAGGTACAGTACCTGATAAGGTATAGTATATAAGGTACAGTAACTGATAAGGTACAGTACCAGATAAGGTATAGTATATAAGGTACAGTACCTGATAAGGTATAGTATACAAGGTACAGTACCTGATAAGGTATAGTATATAAGGTACAGTAACTGATAAGGTACAGTACCTGATAAGGTATAGTATATATAAGGTACAGTACCTGATAAGGTATAGTATAAAAGGTACAGTACCTGATAAGGTATAGTATATAAGGTACAGTACCAGATAAGGTATAGTATATAAGGTACAGTACCTGATAAGGTATAGTATACAAGGTACAGTACCTGATAAGGTATAGTATATAAGGTACAGTAACTGATAAGGTACAGTACCTGCTAAGGTATAGTATACAAGGTACAGTACCTGATAAGGTATAGTATATAAGGTACAGTACCTGATAAGGTATAGTATACAAGGTACAGTACCTGATAAGGTATAGTATATAAGGTACAGTACCTGATAAGGTATAGTATATAAGGTACAGTACCTGCTAAGGTATAGTATACAAGGTACAGTACCTGATAAGGTATAGTATAAAAGGTACAGTACCTGATAAGGTATAGTATATAAGGTACAGTACCAGATAAGGTATAGTATATAAGGTACAGTACCTGATAAGGTATAGTATACAAGGTACAGTACCTGATAAGGTATAGTATATAAGGTACAGTAACTGATAAGGTATAGTACCTGATAAGGTATAGTATATAAGGTACAGTACCTGATAAGGTATAGTATATAAGGTACAGTACCTGATAAGGTATAGTATATAAGGTACAGTACCTGATAAGGTATAGTATATAAGGTACGGTACCTGATAAGGCTCATAGAATAGGTCCTTAGTTCCTTCCTTGATATTCTGGGCCAGTCCGTAAGGGTTGCCCAGTATATCCAGCCCGAACACTACAGCGTACAGCTGAGTGAGTGTCTCGTGGATGTAGTGTTTAGTAACACGGTCCTGTAGTTGTGCCTGAGTCACTAGTTGTCCTGTAGCATCGTAGTAAGCTAGCTTTAACACTGCGTCGTTAATAGCAACCAGACCTGGTGTAGGAACGGAGATAGAGGAAGAGGGGGGGGGGAGGGGGGTCGTTTATAGGGGGGGGGGGCTGTGTCGTTTATAGGGGGGGGGGGGGGCTGTATCGTTTATAGGGGGGGGGGGGGGGGGGGGCTTTAACCCTTATCCTAACACCCCAGCCAAAACTTCTCTAAAAAACAAAATTGTTCAATTTTGCTTCTCAGCACCAGTAAATAGAGAACAAACTGACCGAGTCCAAATGACTTGAGGTAGAGAGCGAGTGTGTCCTCTTGCAGGTGCACCTGGTGACTGTCAGTATTATTCTCAGGAGAAAAGGACACGTGTATTTTGAGAGGAGAGAGGTGTAACTCGTCCAGGAATACAGGGGACCCCCCCTCGTCACCCCCGTCTCTGTCATTTAGTGCTGTGCGGGATAACTTCAAGTCTTCTTCCAGCCACTCCAGCTCCTGAATAGGAGGGGTATTTACTACTAATAACTTACTAATACAGCCACTCCAGCTCCTGAATAGGAGGAGTATTTACTACCAATACTACTCCTAATTAGTGGTAGTACTACACTCCAGCTCCTGAATAGGAGGAGTATTTACTACACTCCAGCTCCTGAATAGGAGGAGTATTTACTACTATACTACCTTCCAGCCACTCCAGCTCCTGAATAGGAGGGGTATTTACTACTAATACTACTTCCAGCCACTCCAGCTCCTGAATAGGAGGAGTATTTACTACTAATACTACTTCCAGCCACTCCAGCTCCTGAATAGGAGGAGTATTTACTACTAATACTACTTCCAGCCACTCCAGCTCCTGAATAGGAGGAGTATTAACTACTAATACTAGTACCTACTATACTACTTCCAGCTCCTGAATAGGAGGAGTATTTACTACTAATGCTAGTACCTACTTCTTCCAGCCACTCCAGCTCCTGAATAGGAGGAGTATTTACTACTAATACTAGTACCTACTATACTACCTTCCAGCCACTCCAGCTCCTGAATAGGAGGAGTATTAACTACTAATACTAGTACCTACTATACTTCTTCCAGCCACTCCAGCTCCTGAATAGGAGGAGTATTTACTACACTCCAGCTCCTGAATAGGAGGGGTATTTACTACTAATACTAGTACCTACTATACTTCTTCCAGCCACTCCAGCTCCTGAATAGGAGGAGTATTTACTACACTCCAGCTCCTGAATAGGAGGGGTATTTACTACTAATACTAGTACCTACTATACTACTTCCAGCCACTCCAGCTCCTGAATAGGAGGAGTATTTACTACTAATACTAGTACCTACTCCAGCTCCTGAATAGGAGGAGTATTTACTACTAATACTAGTACCTACTATACTTCTTCCAGCCACTCCAGCTCCTGAATAGGAGGGGTATTTACTACAGCCACTCCAGCTCCTGAATAGGAGGAGTATTTACTACTAATACTAGTACCTACTTCTTCCAGCCACTCCAGCTCCTGAATAGGAGGGGTATTTACTACTAATACTAGTACCTACTCCAGCTCCTGAATAGGAGGAGTATTTACTACTAATACTAGTACCTACTATACTACTACTTCTTCCAGCCACTCCAGCTCCTGAATAGGAGGAGTATTTACTACTAATACTAGTACCTACTATACTACTACTTCTTCCAGCCACTCCAGCTCCTGAATAGGAGGAGTATTTACTACTAATACTAGTACCTACTTCTTCCAGCCACTCCAGCTCCTGAATAGGAGGGGTATTTACTACTAATACTAGTACCTACTATACTACTACTTCTTCCAGCCACTCCAGCTCCTGAATAGGAGGAGTATTTACTACTAATACTAGTACCTACTATACTACTACTTCTTCCAGCCACTCCAGCTCCTGAATAGGAGGAGTATTTACTACTAATACTAGTACCTACTTCTTCCAGCCACTCCAGCTCCTGAATAGGAGGGGTATTTACTACTAATACTAGTACCTACTCCAGCTCCTGAATAGGAGGAGTATTTACTACTAATACTAGTACCTACTATACTACTACTTCTTCCAGCCACTCCAGCTCCTGAATAGGAGGAGTATTTACTACTAATACTAGTACCTACTATACTACTACTTCTTCCAGCCACTCCAGCTCCTGAATAGGAGGAGTATTTACTACTAATACTAGTACCTACTATATTACTACTACTTCCAGCCACTCCAGCTCCTGAATAGAAGGAGTATTTACTACTACTTCCAGCCACTCCAGCTCCTGAATAGGAGGAGTATTTACTACTAATACTAGTACCTACTATACTACTACTTCTTCCAGCCACTCCAGCTCCTGAATAGGAGGAGTATTTACTACTAATACTAGTACCTACTATACTACTACTTCTTCCAGCCACTCCAGCTCCTGAATAGGAGGAGTATTTACTACTAATACTAGTACCTACTATACTACTACTTCTTCCAGCCACTCCAGCTCCTGAATAGGAGGAGTATTTACTACTAATACTAGTACCTACTATACTACTACTTCTTCCAGCCACTCCAGCTCCTGAATAGGAGGAGTATTTACTACTAATACTAGTACCTACTATATTACTACTACTTCCAGCCACTCCAGCTCCTGAATAGGAGGAGTATTTACTACTAATACTAGTACCTACTATATTACTACTACTTCCAGCCACTCCAGCTCCTGAATAGGAGGAGTATTTACTACTAATGCTAGTACCTACTTCTTCCAGCCACTCCAGCTCCTGAATAGGAGGATTATTTACTACTTATACTAGTACCTACTATACTACTACTACTTCCAGCCACTCCAGCTCCTGAATAGGAGGAGTATTTACTACTAATACTAGTACCTACTATACTACTACTTCTTCCAGCCACTCCAGCTCCTGAATAGGAGGAGTATTTACTACTAATACTAGTACCTACTCCAGCTCCTGAATAGGAGGAGTATTTACTACTAATGCTAGTACCTACTTCTTCCAGCCACTCCAGCTCCTGAATAGGAGGAGTATTTACTACTAATACTAATACCTACTATAGTACTTCCAGCCACTCCAGCTCCTGAATAGGAGGAGTATTTACTACTAATACTAATACCTACTATACTACTTCCAGCCACTCCAGCTCCTGAATAAGAGGGGTATTTACTACTAATACTAGTACCTACTATACTACTTCCAGCCACTCCAGCTCCTGAATAGAAGGAGTATTTACTACTAATACTAGTACCTACTCCAGCTCCTGAATAGGAGGGGTATTTACTACTAATACTAGTACCTACTATACTACTACTTCCAGCCACTCCAGCTCCTGAATAGGAGGAGTATTTACTACTAATACTAGTACCTACTATACTACTACTTCCAGCCACTCCAGCTCCTGAATAGGAGGAGTATTTACTACTAATACTAGTACCTACTATACTACTACTTCCAGCCACTCCAGCTCCTGAATAGGAGGAGTATTTACTACTAATACTAGTACCTACCACTCCAGCTCCTGAATAGGAGGAGTATTTACTACTAATACTAGTACCTACTATACTACTTCCAGCCACTCCAGCTCCTGAATAGGAGGAGTATTTACTACTAATACTAGTACCTACTATACTACTTCCAGCCACTCCAGCTCCTGAATAGAAGGAGTATTTACTACTAATACTAGTACCTACTCCAGCTCCTGAATAGGAGGAGTATTTACTACTAATACTAGTACCTACTATATTACTACTACTTCCAGCCACTCCAGCTCCTGAATAGGAGGAGTATTTACTACTAATACTAGTACCTACTCCAGCTCCTGAATAGGAGGATTATTTACTACTAATGCTAGTACCTACTTCTTCCAGCCACTCCAGCTCCTGAATAGGAGGATTATTTACTACTAATGCTAGTACCTACTTCTTCCAGCCACTCCAGCTCCTGAATAGGAGGAGTATTTACTACTAATACTAGTACCTACTATACTACTTCCAGCCACTCCAGCTCCTGAATAGAAGGAGTATTTACTACTAATACTAGTACCTACTCCAGCTCCTGAATAGGAGGAGTATTTACTACTAATACTAGTACCTACTATATTACTACTTCTTCCAGCCACTCCAGCTCCTGAATAGGAGGAGTATTTACTACTAATACTAGTACCTACTATATTACTACTACTTCCAGCCACTCCAGCTCCTGAATAGGAGGAGTATTTACTACTAATGCTAGTACCTACTCCAGCTCCTGAATAGGAGGAGTATTTACTACTAATACTAGTACCTACTATATTACTACTACTTCCAGCCACTCCAGCTCCTGAATAGGAGGAGTATTTACTACTAATACTAGTACCTACTATATTACTACTACTTCCAGCCACTCCAGCTCCTGAATAGGAGGAGTATTTACTACTAATACTAGTACCTACTTCTTCCAGCCACTCCAGCTCCTGAATAGGAGGGGTATTTACTACTAATACTAGTACCTACTATACTACTACTTCTTCCAGCCACTCCAGCTCCTGAATAGGAGGAGTATTTACTACTAATACTAGTACCTACTATATTACTACTACTTCCAGCCACTCCAGCTCCTGAATAGGAGGAGTATTTACTACTAATACTACTTCTTCCAGCCACTCCAGCTCCTGAATAGGAGGAGTATTTACTACTAATGCTAGTACCTACTATACTACTACTACTAATACTCCTATAGTACTACTTAATATACTACTACTAATACTCCTATAGTAGTACATACTATATTACTATATATAGTGCGGCTGTTATCGGTAGAAGCTATTATTGATATATCCACCAGCACGCTATATTTATTGATATATTACGTTAAATCTGCAAATAAGTAAAACTAAACCTGCTTCTCAATATCCACAATATCGTCATCGTCCACTTTGAGGAAGTTCATGACGGACATTAGGAACCCTGCATCCACCTTGATATGAAACTCCTGTACCTGTTGAACAGGTTACAAGTTAGTGAACTGATGAAATATTCTCAAATATATAGGCGACTATAATTAAAGAAGTAAATGTAATTTGTTAGTCTTTCCCTTAAAACCACTATAGACCTTTATGATATAATATATAACATTAAAGAGAGATACTGACCAACATCTTGACATATTTGTAGTGGTCCAGCACACTCTGCTCCTGCTCGCCCTCTACAGAGGTCGACTGTTTGATCATAGCAAACTCCACCAGAGGTTTAGGGGGCTGTTGAGCGATAGCGTGAGAAGGAGGGGCTATCGGATAGAACACATGCCGGAACTCCCCGCCATCTCTTAGCTGGTTATCAATCTGAGATAAGGGAGTTAGTTTCATAGTTAACTTAATTAATTACTTGATCATTCTCCTCAATAACTTAGCATTGCTAATCAATAAAAATGAGCTCCAGCAATGAGATGATGATGACCTGTATTCTGTTAATCTTGAAGTGAATGTTGTTCTGACTAGGAGAGCTGGTATACTGTAGCCAGAGCGCAGGTAGGTATGTAAGGTAAGGTATGTAAGGTAAGGTAAGGTATAGTAAGGTATGTAAGGTATGTAAGGTATGTAAGGTATGTAAGGTGTGTAAGCAATGAGATGATGATGACCTGTATTCTGTTAATCTTGAAGTGAATGTTGTTCTGACTAGGAGAGCTGGTATACTGTAGCCAGAGCGCAGGTAGGTATGTAAGGTAAGGTATGTAAGGTATGTAAGGTATATAAGGTATGTAAGGTATGTAAGGTATGTAAGGTATGTAAGGTGTGTAAGCAATGAGATGATGATGACCTGTATTCTGTTGATCTTGAAGTGAATGTTATTCTGACTAGGAGAGCTGGTATACTGTAGCCAGAGCGCAGGTAGGTATGTAAGGTAAGGTATGTAAGGTATGTAAGGTATGTAAGGTATGTAAGGTATGTAAGGTATGTAAGGTGTGTAAGCAATGAGATGATGCTGACCTGTATTCTGTTAATCTTGAAGTGAATGTTATTCTGACTAGGAGAGCTGGTATACTGTAGCCAGAGGGCAGGTAGGTATGTAAGGTAAGGTATGTAAGGTATGTAAGGTAACGTATGTAAGGTATGTAAGGTATGTAAGGTATGTAAGGTAAGGTATGTTAGCAATAAGATGATGCTGACCTGTATTCTGTTAATCTTGAAGTGAATGTTATTCTGACTAGGAGAGCTGGTATACTGTAGCCAGAGGGCAGGTAGGTATGTAAGGTAAGGTATGTAAGGTATGTAAGGTAACGTATGTAAGGTATGTAAGGTATGTAAGGTATGTAAGGTAAGGTATGTTAGCAATAAGATGATGATGACCTGTATTCTGTTAATCTTGAAGTGAATGTTGTTCTGACTAGGAGAGCTGGTATACTGTAGCCAGAGGGCAGGTAGGTATGTTCTCCTCACGGTCACACAGTTACTGTCAGGGTAGGTCAGTACCATGTCCTCCTCGTTCCTCATGTCAAACGAGTGCTCGTCAAACTCAACTACTGCTTTATCTGGAGGAGTAGGCTTGTCAAGGAGTGGAAGATATATCAATAGTGTCATGATAAGCCGCGCAGCGTTAGGTTTATGAAGGAGTGGAAGATATATAATCAATAGTGTCATGATAAGCCGCGCAGCGTTAGGTTTATGAAGGAGTGGAAGATATATCAATAGTGTCATGATAAGCAGCGCATTGATAATGCGTCGAGTTAAACACTCGCTAGAGAATGATATCGTTTTTACTAGTTTTGTTCCACGTACATACTACAGTGCGTGCAGCCCGGATGCACACACGCAATATGGACACACACGCGAGCAACAGATCTGTCCAGCATACAGTATGAATAATGGGGCGAGGGGGTACAGTACCCAAACGATTAAAAACAAAACTAACGACCACCAACCAGGCACAGATTATTTGATATTTGGTAACAGTAACCTAACGAAAAATAATATAAACCATACTAATTATAATAACAATACTAATTATCTGTATTGCGATTAAAGATAAAACAGACTAATGAACTTCACGAAATCAAACAATTTTAAACTGTCCCACAATCCACATGGACTATTATATATCTAATATATCTAACAAAACCAATATAGGGACATAATTGTATTGAGAATATATTTTCGCATATAAGCTCAACCTCCACAGATGTTAGTTTGTGGGGACTTAGCTTGCTGTATCTCTGTGTGCCGCTTGTTTTCAGTCTTAACAAAATACATATTATATTATTACAGATGCATGCAACTTCATGGTGAAACTTGACAGAGACAGTCCCAGTCGTATTATCTTTATAAAAACTGGGGCTCTCGGTCTAATATCACAACTAAGTTATTTCCTTGTTTTCAATCCATCCATTTTGGAAGTGTGTGTCTTAAACGTTTTCGGTTTTGGGTAATATTTTCATAACGATATGGGGGGTGCCCAACCCCAAAAAACCCATTCCAAAAATGTAAATTTAAAACAAAATCACAGATTACCATGATAAAACCACGATGAAGAGTTTGAGATACATTTGACTGGTGTGATAAATATCACACCTGTTCTAAGATCACGTGACAAGCCGCCCTAACATGGTCGCCCCGGACTACTCCAACTACAGCATGTTTGGAGTTAAGAGCTCAGAGAAGCGTTACCTGTGGTGCTCCTGGCTAGTGTTCGTGTTGATCTCCTCCCTTATAGGAGACGCTGTCATCCTCATAGCCTCTCTAAAGTACAAAGCTATCAAACTGAACCGCATTATAGTGCTGTTCATAGAGCAGATAGCAGCATGTGACATGTTCCTCTCCCTCCTCTACCTAGTATTCACATTGGTGCCTCTCATAAGTAACAGATGGGTATATGGGGGGACTCTGTGTACTCTGAGAGTCTACCTAGCATACTCTGTAACTACAGCTAGTCTCCTCCTCATCTGCGCAATGGTCACGTGTAAACTGCTACTAGTGAGAGGTACTGTAAGGACGAGGAACCTGACAGTCTCACAAGTTCACATTGTGTGTGCTGTGATCTGGGGACTAGCTCTCTACCTTCCCATTACATTCCTTATACTAGGCAAGGACGACGTGTGGTTTGACTACAGAATATACACCTGCAACTACAAGTTCTCCTCTGATACCTGGAGACGGTGGTTGACCATGGTAACCTCTATCACTCTGGGCTTTATCCCCAACTTTGTGATAGTGAGTGCTACTGTAATGCTGGTGCTGCACCTGAGAAGAGCGCGCAACACCTCCCGACAGTGTAGAGGGCTCATCAGATCACAGGGGATAATAACAGTAGTGCTGACAGCAGTAGTGTACACTATATCCATCCTACCCTACACTGTCTACCAGTTCACTGAACCATTCGTGGAGTTTAACTACACTAGTTCCACCACATTCCACACTCTGTACTACAGACTAGCTAACTGCTTCCTACTCTTCAACCTCCTCACCAACTTCTTTATCTGTAGTCTTACTGTTAGGAGCTTCAGAACCTTCCTACTCGACAGGAGACATCAGATAACATCCTACAGGCCCTGCTCAATGACAGGTAATTACAGGGGAGGGGAGTGGGTGGGGAGTGGGTAAGGAGGGGGTAAGGAGGGGAGTGGGTGGGGAGTGGGGAGGGGTTGGGAGGGGAGTGAGGAGGGGAGTGAGGGGGTGAGGAGGGGAGTGGGGAGGGGGTGAGGGGGTGGGGAGGGGAGTGAGGGGGTGAGGAGGGGAGTGGGGAGGGGGTGAGGGGGTGGGGAGGGGGCGGGGAGGGGAGTGGGTGGGGAGTGGGGAGGGGGTGATGAGGGAGTGAGGAGGGGAGTGGGGAGGAGGGGAGTGGGGAGGGGGTGATGAGGGAGTGAGGAGGGGAGTGAGGAGGGGAGTGGGGAGGGGGAGGAGGGGTGAGGAGGGGAGTGAGGGGGCGAGGAGGGGAGTGGGGAGGGGTGAGGGGGTGGGGAGGGGGTGGGGAGGGGAGTGGGTGGGGAGTGGGGAGGGGGTGGGGACTGGGGAGGAAAGGGGGTGGGGATTTAATTATTTGAATGTTGGTATCACTGCATTCCGTACTATTCATATACTATTATACTATTCCGTACTATTATACACTGAAACCCACACCCCCTGTTTCAGTGAGAAGATCTACGTGTGAAGGAATATCTAACACGCTCACTACAGCTCTTGAAACTCCTGTCTGAACAAACCAACATATCCTCAACTATTCAGCCGTGACTCAACTTATGATTATCTGTCACTCCTTAACTGTTAAACGAAACTTTATCTCCATCTAATATTTGGGATTCTTTATTTCGACAATATAAAGACAATATAAAGACAATATACAGAGGCAAGATACAAAGACAAGATATACAGACAAGGTATACAGACAAGATACAAAGACAAGGTACAAAGACAAGGTACAAAGACAAGGTACAAAGACAAGGTACAAAGACAAGGTACAAAGACAAGGTACAAAGACAAGGTACAAAGACAAGATATACAGACAAGGTACCTGCATTGAAGGCGGTCTCTAATGACTCAGAGATCTGGGTACACAGGTACTTGTACCGATCCCTCTTCTTCAGCTTCCTCTCCCATATTGCACCACTACTGTCCAACTGTATATACGACACTTCCTGCATTGTATCACTTATCGTAATGACCAGACTTTTAAAATTAACTATATTAACAGTAGAAAAATTGTAATTTTAGCTGGCAAATCAAGAATCCAAATTCATGTCAAAAATTGGGGACCGCAACGGTAGTTCTGGGTAAATTCTTATTTATATATATATAAATAAATTTTTGTTTAACTGAATTCAGCAACACAGTACCTGAGGGGTACCGTCCACCAAGGAAACACCAATAGCCTGAGGGAAGGACAGTTCGAACAACAGGTGGCTCTGCTCTATCTTTATAACCTCTTGACCCACACAGTCTGCTACATTAAGGTTATCTGTGAACAGTAGCACTCGCTGCAGACCGTCAAGGAAACTCACCACCTGAGAGAGTTTGATATGTTTTTTAAGATATGTGCATGAATTATTGTATTGTATTTTGTTTTCTGTTAGTGTTATGAAATCAAATGCATAAAAATCACATAATTTATCCTTTTTGTATTTATACAAGTCATACACACTCCGAGATCTTCTGCTGAAGACCCCAGAATATGTATGCGACAAACAGCAATCTTTCTTAACAAACCCAAATCTTAAAGTCTTAACTTAGGCAGCCACTTTGGCATTTTTTATAAAATTTTAATACTACACATAAATTCGTTGCTCTGTATAACCAAAGAATACACAGTAGAAATAACTTTGCAGCAGTGTAGCACACCTGAGCTTTCCGCTGTCTCTGGGAGAGAAGGTCGTGGTACACAAAACTAACACAGTTATCTTTCACAAAATCCGCTTTTTTCTGGTTCTTCTCATCTCCCTAAACATGAGATGTGTAAGACATGACGTAAGAGATAGCACATGACGTAGGGCATATTTTATTGTGTAATTTTTGAGTTCAATAAAATAGTAAAATGGATTAATTAAGTGCACTCACCAGCACTGAATGTAATAAATAATAATGCTAGAAATAAGATAAGTAGCTACTTATAGTATAGAATAATATAGTTCTATATTTACAGTACGTTACAATGTAGATGCACTGAAGGAGTATCTCTTTAGTACATCTACATTTTAGACAGTACTGAAGGAGTATCTTCTTAGGGCACCCTTTAGTACATCTACATTTTAGATATTCTGAAGGAGTATCTTCTTAGGACACTCTTTAGTACATCTACATTTTAGATAGTACTGAATGAGTATCTTCTTAGGACACTCTTTAGTACATCTACATTTTAGATAGTATTGAAGGAGTATCTTCTTAGGACACCCTTTAGTACATCTACATTTTAGATAGTACTGAAGAAGTATCTTCTTAGGACACCCTTTAGTACATCTACATTTTAGATAGTATTGAAGGAATATCTTCTTAGGACACTCTTTAGTACATCTACATTTTAGATAGTACTGAAGGAGTATCTTCTTAGGACACTCTTTAGTACATCTACATTTTAGATAGTACTGAAGGAGTATCTTCTTAGGACACTCTTTAGTACATCTACATTTTAGATAGCACTGAAGGAGTATCTTCTTAGGACACCCTTTAGTACATCTACATTTTAGATAGTACTGAAGCTGAAGGAGTATCTTCTTAGGACACCCTTTAGTACATCTACATTTTAGATAGTACTGAAGAGTACCCTACTGACCTGGACACACCAATACAGTTCCCTCTTCTTATCAGGAAAGTCCCAGGTGTACAAGATGCTGTTATGAGGAGGAACAGTTACAAAGGACATGGCACTGTGCTGTTTAAAACATATACTGGACTCTGAGAGCAAGTTCTCAATCCGAACAGGGGCTGCCCCCAGATAGTATGTTCCTATTCTTATCTCTGTTGTGGCTGTCCTCACATCTACAAACACTACTATTGATATGAAGGAGCATGCCTCGTCCGTGGAGGCGTCAGCACGTATTACAGTCTGTTGTGTGGTGTGGAGAGGGATCGCCATTGTGGGCTTACCTTGGAGTTCAATCATAATAAGATTATAATGTTACTTTCACACTTATAAAATTATATTGATGCTTTCGTGTGTCAGAACTTTCTCGAATAGTAAGAAAAATTTGCGTTGAAGTCGATACAACTTTTTAGCTTATTAAGTTGTCTGAATAAAATGGATTTGATAGTGTGTGGCTTGGAGAGAGGGCCCCCCCCCCTCCTTGGAGAGATCAATGAAATGCCGAAGGATTATCATGAAGTTACCTTTACGTATCTTTACAACTAGGGAGTGATCATCTTTACATCCCGGCCAGAACGGAGTAACTTTATTACATCTACACTCTGTCAGTTCAGAGCTCAGCTCTCCTCGTACTGTTATAGGGAAATGTAGCTCGTTTATCACCTGTAACTAGGGTTAATTGTTATTTTCAATCAATACAATTTTATTTGATTAACTTCTTATATTATTAAAGTTAATAAAGTCTGCCTTCGTATTGCTTGAAACATTTATATCTAAATGTGGAATAATTATATGATAATACTAATACAATTACTAATTGTCCATCTAATTATCGCACGAACTACTAACCTGGAAGCGAGGATAGAATGTAACAATGTTGGTGAGCTGAATATTAGATAGCGCTATAGTTACTCCCACCTCGTAGTAACAGTCATTCTCCTCATCAAACGATCTGAGTACAAATTATAGATAACAAACTGAGTACATTATTAACACCACGTGACACAAACAAACCAATCAGAGCACAGTATTCATACCACGTGACACAAACTAACCAATCAGAGCACAGTATTAACACCACGTGACACACACAAACCAATCAGAGCACAGTATTAACACCACGTGACACAAACTAACCAATCAGAGTGCACAGTATTAACACCACGTGGCATAAACCAACCAATCAGAACACAGTATTCATACTACGTGACACAAACTAACCAATCAGAGCACAGTATTAACACTAACCTTATGCTACCACTGCTACCAACTGTGTCAATATTAAAATACTCGCTCCACCCCGCCCTCTCTACTTTCACCCTTAGTTTCTGTTTACTCTTGTCAGTGTGTAGGAAGGAGAATAACATGGGTTGTTGGATGGTGGGGGGATCTAGTATCTCTGATGAGTCGGTTATACCTGGTAACATAATGTATAATATAATGTAGTAGTAAGTAGTAGTAATATTACCTGTCATTCCTGGTAATATTTATAACGTTGGTCAGAACTTAAATTAATTAATTAATTCACAAATTAATTGCAAATAAGTCACCTTGATAATGTAGCTGTTTGCCAGTACAATTAACCATCCAGTAAGAACTATATACAGTTAAGATAAGACCGTCAGTTACTTTAGCGACCACGCCCAGTGTAACACGGTTAGTAAGGTTGTTAACACTCGCTGTCATGGTTACATACTGTTGGGAGTTTTCTTCGAACTTCTTCACGTCTATATTAAACTCACCTGGAGGGAAAAGCAAAGGTCTTACTTTTAAATAAATTACAGAAAATTAATATATAATATAGGCTTTCAATGATATACTATTTCTGCAAGAAATTCAGAGAACATGTAAAGATTAAAATATTCACTGAAGAATATGTGAAATATTAAAAGAATGTGTTAAATATTCAAAGAATGCGTGAAATATCTAAAGAATGTATGAAATATTCATAGAATCTGTGAAATATTTTTAAAATGCGTGAAATATTCAAAGAATATGTGAAATATTCAAAGAATGCGTGAAATATCTAAAGAATGTGTGAAATATTCATAGAATGCGTGAAATATTAAAAGAATGCGTGAAATATTCAAAGAATATGTGAAATATTCAAAGAATATGTGAAATATTCAAAGAATATGTGTAATGTTCAAAGAATATGTGAAATATTAAAAGAATGTGTTAAATATTCAGAAAATATCTTCTAAAACTGACCAGACCAATCGAACCCCATGTCATGGTAGTTAATAATCCGGAGGATGATAGAAGGGTCAGTGGAAGTGTCTATCATGTTAAAGTGTTCTCGCTGTCCTGCCGGGATGTCTCTAGATAGCATAGTAGTACCTATTCCCTGTATCCTGTAGTGAGATAGTAAGTGTTACTCTAGATAGCATGGTAGTACCTATTCCCTGTATCCTGTAGTGAGACAGTAAGTGTTATATTGTATCCTGTAGTTACATCAGTAACTAATGTAATTATCCTGTAGTATGGGTCGGCGATTGGTTCTGATGGTTTCTCGAGGTGTTTTAGGAATACTTCTTTATCCAAGATAGGAATACCCAAGATAAAAATGTGGGTAAAAACTCCAGAATTTCAAAAAAGAGACTGTCAGAAAAGAACCGGATTGTAGAGCTAGCTCTCTAATACCTTACCTGAGAGTGACGGGGAGTTTGTTACAAATGATAACAGGGGGGTTAATGGAGATGGTGTGGTATAGAGCATTCTGCAGGTTCAATCTTGAGGGGTTCCTAGAATATATCACTTGTCATATTCCATATTAATAGAGTTTCAGAATTAAACTTTCAAATTTAGTAGCAATCAATGAATCAAAATAAAACTAGCGGAGTAGAGAATAGAGAAGGGGGGGGGGGGGGGCTGTATAGAGAAGGAGGAGGGGGGGGCCTGTATAGCGAAGGAGGGGGGGGGGCTGTATAGAGAAGGAGGGGGGGGGGCTGTATAGAGAAGGAGGGGGGGGGGCTGTATAGAGAAGGAGGGGGGGGGGCTGTATAGAGAAGGAGGGGGGGCTGTATAGAGAAGGAGGGGGGGGGGCTGTATAGATAAGGAAGGGGGGCTGTATAGAGAATGAGGGAGGGGGGGGGGGGGGGGCTGTATAGAGAAGGAGGGGGGGGGGGGGCTGTATAGAGAAGGAGGGGGGGCTGTATAGAGAAGGAGGGGGGGGCTGTATAGAGAAGGAGGGGGGGGGGGGGCTGTATAGAGAAGGAGGGGGGGCTGTATAGAGAAGGAGGGGGGGGGGCTGTATAGAGAAGGAGGGGGGGCTGTATAGAGAAGGAGGGGGGGGGGCTGTATAGAGAAGGAGGGGGGGGGGCTGTGTAGGCAAGAAGGAGGGGGGGGGGGCTCACCTGACGTTTAGAGGCTGCATGGAGAAGGAGCCATGTTCCGGTAGCAGTTCAGTACCTCTTGTAGCAGGGTAGCTGGCCACAAAGTGGTGGGTATCATTCTTCAGTTTGGAGGTGGAGAGCGGTGGGAAGGAGGGGGAGTGTCCGTCTATATCGGGCGAAATGTGGAAATGGTGGGAGTCCCCGGTACCTACAGGAGGTAATTCAATAATTAATATAATTAATTTGTAATCAGCTACTTGTTAACTTACAAATGGATTTAGACATGAATATGCTCCACTATTTTTTACTCACCACAAATTTGGGCGTCAAGAGGGACAGAATATTTAGCACCTGCTTCGATCCTGCTCACCTGTGGGCGAATAACATCAATTAGTTATTTTTTAATGAATTTTTAATGATTCAATTTTAATTAAAATTGACTTAAATTTTAAAACGACCCGAAAACTAACCCATACCATGCGATAAAAAATTTCCAACCATGCGATAAAACATTTCCAATCATTAAAAATTTAAAAGCGCTGCAAATGTTGTTTAATGTATAATCACAAAAATGCTTCATTCGCCACAAAATATGAAATTATGTAGCGTAGCTGCAGAAATACGTAAATTTTGCGTATGTGGGATATTCAGAGAATATGTGGGATATTCAGAGAATATGTGGGATATTCAGAGAATATGTGGGATATTCAGAGAATATGTGGGATATTCAGAGAATATGTGGGATATTCAGTGAATATGTGGGATATTCAGAGAATATGTGGGATATTCAGAGAATATGTGGGATATTCAGTGAATATGTGGGATATTCAGTGAATATGTGGGATATTCAGAGAATATGTGGGATATTCAGTGAATGTTTAGTATATTTAGCATATTGTTTAGCGTATTCAGAGAACGTGTAGAGAGAATAACAAGTAACACAGCAGAACATGCAGGACATGCAGGACCTACTTGAAACGACTTAATGTCTACAGTTACCTATAGAAAGGAAAATTCAGATCAAAGATTCCCATTCACATAAACAAGTAACAAGGTTTTTAATTGTTGGTTGCTGTGATGGGCTCCTCGTGCAGAAATGCATGAATATCTTCCTCTTTGCTTACACTTGTGTGGAATGGAAGCTTCATAGCTTTTTATTAACAGGTAAAAAAGTGAGGGAAATCATTCGAATCATTTCAATCTGCACGTGTCACGCGCGAAATGTGTCACGTGATATCAGAATGACGCGCACACCACGTAACACGTGTGAGGGGTGGCACTTACGAGTTCTCTGTTTGTTGAATCGTCAGGAGCAGAGTACCATAATCTGAAGAACAATCAAAATGTTAGTTATTTTAATTTAATGATAATTAAATGTTAGTTATTTTAATTTAATAACAATTAAATGTTAGTTATTTTAATTTAATAGCAATTAAAATGTTAGTTATGTATTTTAATTTAAAATGTTAGTTATTTTAATTTGATAACAATTAAATGTTAGTTGATAACAATTAAATGTTAATAATTTTCATCTCATTATTTTCATGATCATTATTTGATTAATAATACTATTCCATTATAATACTATATTCCATTATTAATAAATGTATAGTATAATTAAGTAAGATAACAACCTGACAGGTACACGTTGTTTGTTGTGGAAGTTAAGAGGAGACCGGATAGTGACCGTCTTGCTGCTTCTTACTACTGTTACTTCTACCAGCACGTTACGCTGAGGGGGGAGGTGTCACGTGTCATTTGTCATTTGTCATTTGTCACGTGTCACGTGTCATTTGTCACGTGTCACGTGGTTAAGTAACATGAGAGATAATAAGAACACGAGAGGGGCGCATCTAGAAAGATAATTTTTTTTCAATTAATCATGAGTTAATTCTAGTGGTTTCAGCAGTTTAGCATCCAAATAGGCAGCTGAAAAAACAATACGGAACATGCACCCAGTTGTTAATAATAGGAGAGCTGTAAAGGGATAAGAAGTTAAAGAGATTTAAAAAAGTTAATTTGTGAAATTATCTAGCACGAATAAATTAGTACTATGCAGACGAAAGATTATTTAGAGATAATTCAAAAAAAACTGGAACAGATGAAAAAAAGGTAAAATTAATCATTGTAAGCAAAAAATATTATTAAATGTTTTAGATTTGAACAAGATAATTAATTAGACTCAAGAGTAATGTGGAACTAGCAGACATGCAGCTGAGTGGTTGCTATTAGTTACCACGAAACTAGCAGACATGCAGCTGAGTGGTTGCTATTAGTTACCACGATACTAGCAGACATGCAGCTGAGTGGTTGCTATTAGTTACCACGATACTAGCAGACATGCAGCTGAGTGGTTGCTATTAGTTACCACGAAACTAGCAGACATGCAGCTGAGTGGTTGCTATTAGTTACCACGATACTAGCAGACATGCAGCTGAGTGGTTGCTATTAGTTACCACGATACTAGCAGACATGCAGCTGAGTGGTTGCTATTAGTTACCACGAAACTAGCAGACATGCAGCTGAGTGGTTGCTATTAGTTACCACGAAACTAGCAGACATGCAGCTGAGTGGTTGCTATTAGTTACCACGGAACTAGCAGACATGCAGCTGAGTGGTTGCTATTAGTTACCACGGAACTAGCAGACATGCAGCTGAGTGGTTGCTATTAGTTACCACGATACTAGCAGACATGCAGCTGAGTGGTTGCTATTAGTTACCACCATACTAGCAGACATGCAGCTGAGTGGTTGCTATTAGTTACCACGATACTAGCAGACATGCAGCTGAGTGGTTGCTATTAGTTACCACGAAACTAGCAGACATGCAGCTGAGTGGTTGCTATTAGTTACCACGATACTAGCAGACATGCAGCTGAGTGGTTGCTACTAGTTACCACGAAACTAGCAGACATGCAGCTGAGTGCTTGCTATTAGTTACCACCATACTAGCAGACATGCAGCTGAGTGGTTGCTATTAGTTACCACGAAACTAGCAGACATGCAGCTGAGTGGTTGCTTCTAGTTACCACGATACTAGCAGACATGCAGCTGAGTGGTTGCTATTAGTTACCATGATACTAGCAGACATGCAGCTGAGTGGTTGCTATTAGTTACCACGATACTAGCAGACATGCAGCTGAGTGGTTGCTATTAGTTACCACGATACTAGCAGACATGCAGCTGAGTGGTTGCTATTAGTTACCACGAAACTAGCAGACATGCAGCTGAGTGGTTGCTATTAGTTACCACGAAACTAGCAGACATGCAGCTGAGTGGTTGCTATTAGTTACCACCATACTAGCAGACATGCAGCTGAGTGGTTGCTATTAGTTACCACGAAACTAGCAGACATGCAGCTGAGTGGTTGCTATTAGTTACCACCATACTAGCAGACATGCAGCTGAGTGGTTGCTATTAGTTACCACGAAACTAGCAGACATGCAGCTGAGTGGTTGCTATTAGTTACCACGAAACTAGACGTTTCCATGTTGGTTAGTTGTAATTTTAATCTATCCAAGTACGTTACTTCTCTTTTCAGCGTGTATCTCTCCACCTTGGTTTAATGATCGCATAATTATTCAATAAATAAATAACTGCATAATATTTAATAAATAGATAAATAATTATAATTTTTCCATTCACCATTTTACGAAGCAAAAATGTCAAGTGAAAGGTTACGAATGGTCGTTTTTGCAGAAAAGAGGGATTTTGGAGAACGAGGAAGGTGGGTTTAGATTTAGTTTCCGTTCGTCACACTTTACCATGACAACGAGAAATACACGCACGGTGGAGTTGTGATGTATAGTCTGTAGTCAGTACATGCGCGGCGCGTGTATTTTAATCTATTAGTATTATGCAATAATTTGATAGTTGGGGATGAAGTGAGAGTCTCCACTCAGTGTTCCAAAACAAAACTTCGTCCCCAACTATATGATCGACCCAGAAAGATTACTACTATGCAATAAGCCCAATTTGTACTTGACACGTGCAGTGTACAGAATACTGATGTGTATAAAGGTATAAGACATGAGCATAGTTCACTTTTTGCCCCAAATTTATTAAATTACAGATACAAGTTAAGTTTTACGGCAATTTCTACGAAAATTTAAATACAAGTGTTTATCGTAAATTTAAAGCATAATATTATGAAGCGAACTGATCAGAGCTTGTAGTGTATGGAAATCTTCTTGTTTTAAATCTTACGGTTTAATAATTGCACGAATATTTAGTGCTGGTAATTGAACCGACAATTACCATTCAGGAGAAAACAGAGAGCACTTTCAGTTTCTTAGGGGACTAAATAATTTACAAACTCATTAATCTTTGTTTCCTGGTTCCTTAATGCAGAAGCAGGAAAAACCTTTGTTAATATTTTCAAATAGTACTGATAAGTGATTATACCACGATCAGCTCTTCCAGGAATGAAGAGTCCACCTTAATTAAATACTAGCAGCTAATAGTACTGCCTTAATTAAATACTAATACTACTACTATATACTGTTGTTAAATACTAGTACTACTACTACTATAAGTAGTAGCACAGGTCACTCTCAAATCCTAAAGATAAGCAGTGGCCTTCGGCACTTGAAACCTCTTCAAACCTCCCCTGATTTATTTATTATTGATATTGTTTGATTGTGCCGTAAAAATAAATATTTGTTTTATTAAATATTTGTTTTATTATATAGTATATACTGTAGTTAAATACTGCAAAATCTGCAGTTAGACAGTTAGACGGAGTTACAATGTACTTTAATGTTACTATATTTATAGTAAAAACTATAGGACCTGGAACAACAGCGCTCTGTTTTACTAACTGAACCTTATTCTCGTAACCTCTGTTTATAATGTTAAAGTTGTTGATAATTAATTAGAACTTAACCAACATGATCAAAACAGCAACTATAAACACCACAAGCAACACTAAACAGACTAATAACTAATAAAGAACACACCATCTTGTTTACAGAGCCACTAAAAGTTATGCAGAATAAAAAACACATTTTAAATCAGTCATGCTGACAATTCTCTGGGAATTCTCTTAAAGTTTTATAAAGCTTTTCCCACACCACAGAAGTCACAGAACTCTAAAAACAGAACACGTGACAGAAGCAGAACACGTGTTACAGAACACGTGTTAATGTTAAACTCACTTCCCCCTCCTCAGGGAGTGGTGTGTGCAGCTTCACGTTGAAAGAGGTTCGTCTTCTCTCCATCATACCAATACGTCGCTGAGCGGATAGTGGACTGAGGTGTGACCATAGTGACCATAGTGACCATAGTGACCATAGTGACCATAGTGACTGTAATGAGTGTAGTGACTGTAGTGACTGTAGTGACTGTAGTGTCTGTAGTGACTGTAGTGACTGTAGTGACTGTAGTGACCATAATGACTGTAGTAACCATAGTGACCATAGTGACTGTAGTGACTGTAGTGACTATAGTGACTGTAGTGACTGTAGTGTCTGTAGTGACTGTAGTGACCATAGTGACTGTAGTGACTGTAGTGACCATAGTGACTGTAGTGACCATAGTGACCGTACTGACCATAGTGACTGTAGTGACCATAGTGATCATAGTGGCTCATGTAGTGACCATAGAGACCGTAGTGACCATAGTGACTGTAGTGACTGTAGTGACCATAGTGACTGTAGTGACCACTGACCATAGTGACTTAAGTAACCATGGTGATCATAGTGACTGAAGTGACTATAGTAACCATATCATGGGACATGGAGTAGTAGATATAGTGACCACAGTAGAATAGGTTCAGGAAACGGAGAAATGGCTTCAGAGGACTGAGAAAGTCAGGACATGTACTACTAAATATAAGTATAACAATCAAAGAGATATAATTATAACTCATTTGATAATTGCAACTTTTGCTCATCTTTGTGCAGTACAAATATTTACTCTGTACAGTCACTTATCACAACTATAACTATTCGGCACCATAACTTGTTTTTTTGTTTAGAGTGATCAGCAAACTATTAACACCTTGATAACTTGTTTACAGTGATCAGCAAACTCTTAACATCCTGATAAACAACCTCCAGCACTGTTTTTTAGATAATCCTGGTTAAAGATATTGTTTCTGACATGTGACAGTGATTAACCAATCAGCCTGTCATTTGTCAAAATTGTCCGTCATAAATTTCCGATATTCAAAATTGTAGATATTCAACTAAAAGGACACTTTTAAGTTTAAGCAGTGGCTCTTCAGACCAAAAGAGGGAGCTAATTTGGTGTATCCTGCTGATTACTTGACTCAACAGCGCCTTTAATTCGAGATAAGTTGGGTTATTCTAATGTATCCTCCTTCTCTCCCCCCTAAATACTAGTACTGTTAGCTGTAAAAGTATTCTAATGTATCCCCCCTTCTCTCCCCCTTAAATACTGTTAGCTGTAAAAGTACCTCACGGCGGGAGTTAGTCTTCATAGCAGGTATCAGCCCGTATATATACAGTCCTGCCTGAACAATCTGCACATCTTTAATCTCCTCGTAACCCTGGGATAATACGTTAACCAATCAGAGCACAGTCTTCACACCACGTGACACAAACTAACCAATCAGAACACAGTATTCCGATCACGTGACACAAACTCAAGCTTGGAGGCTGTGAGAATGTAAATATTTTCTTATTTATTTTCAAGAATCTTATCAACTTGTGCTAAGTTTCACTCGCTACATTGACTAGAGAAGTGTACCTCTATCTTAACACTGATAGTAGCAGCATCAGAGATATCAGTGCCTTTAGAACTGTGACTCCGCTCTAGCGCCCTCTTCCCTCGGTCCTTGCCTCGTTTCGTAGCCTCCAGCTTCAGGCCTTGTTTCTCATCGTGCTCAAGCTGGAACTCTGGTGGAGGCTGGAAATATAGTTATTATTTAATGAATTAGAATTGAATTAATTAGAGTTGAATTGATTAGAATTAAATTGAATTGCATTGAATTGAATTGAATTGAATTGAATTGAATTGAATTGAATTGAATTGAATTGAATTGAATTGAATTGAATTGAATTGAATTGAATTGCATTACATTGAATTTAATTGAATTGAATTGCATTGCATTGAATTGCATTGAATTGCATTGAATTGCATTGAATTGAATTGAATTGCCTTACATTGAATTGCATTGCATTGCATTGAATTGAATTGAATTGAATTGCATTGAATTGAATTGCATTGAATTGAATTGAATTGCATTGCATTGCATTGAATTGCATTGAATTGAATTGCATTGAATTGAATTGAATTGAATTGAATTGAATTGAATTGAATTGAATTGAATTGAATTGCATTGCATTGAATTGCATTGAATTGCATTGCATTGAATTGAATTGAATTGAATTGAATTGCATTGAATTATATTGAATTGGATTGGATTGAATTGAATTGAATTGAATTGAATTGAATTGAATTGAATTGAATTGAATTGAATTGCATTGCAGTGCATTGAATTGCATTGAATTGCATTGCATTGAATTGCATTGAATTGAATTGCATTGCATTGCATTGAATTGAATTGAATTGAATTGAATTGCATTGAATTGCATTGCATTGAATTGAATTGAATTGCATTGAATTGCATTGCATTGAATTGAATTGAATTGAATTGAATTGAATTGAATTGAATTGAATTGAATTGAATTGAATTGAATTGAATTGAATTGAATTGAATTGAATTGAATTGAATTGCAATGCATTGAATTGCTCCTGAATTTACATATTTATATTATAAATCAAGAGGCTTACATATAATGAACATATTGACACGGGTGCAGAGTTGAGTCTGTACGGAACCTAGTAGTTTCAGATCCTTGTTTAACTTGCCGTACAGCAAGGTCATCCACTACTTTAGCCCGGCGAGGCACATAACTCCCTCTATTTAACATTATCAGCTATCGTCTAAAACAAGATAAGATATTACAAAATGTTAAAGGTGCACATGACGTGTAATGTGTATTTACCGCGTTTCTAGAGCCGTCCTGCTTGGCCCTGACAGTAATATTAACTCCACACAAGTTATGTACCATTAGGGGGCTCACCGCTCTAGGCTCTATTCTCATGTCATCACTTACACCGCTCCAAGCTTCACTCAGAACTTGGAAATTCTTTAGTGCAGAGTTGGTTAGGGTTAGGAGTAGTTTGTCCTAAAAATATGAGAATATACACTAGGGGAACAGGCAGACGGACAGGCAGACGGACGGACGGACGGACGGACGGACGGAAGGACATACCGACGGACGGACAGACAGACAGACAGACAGACAGACAGGCAGACAGACAGACAGACAGACAGACAGACAGACAGACAGACAGACAGACAGACAGACAGACAGACAGACAGACAGACAGACAGACAGACATACAGACAGACAGACAGACAGACAGACAGACAGACAGACAGACGGACACGTACATCACTAGTGACATGTATCTCGTATAGAGGGGGTGCGTTCTCCAGAATGTCCATACTGTCAACACTAGATTGGGAGGCCGTGTCCATCTCACTAGCTTCAGCGCCTGAAACAGGAAATAACTTTTCGGAGGGTATTATTAACGGATTAAACGATTCAAAAGTCAAATTACAATGGTAATGTCTGACCCAATATAAAAAGCAAATTTACCCTAAAGTCAAAAAGTATACATTATACAAGAAAATGAGAATAAAATTGAAGACACCATAATCACAAATAAACAAAGAATTAATTCCCACAAATTTTCAGAATGACATTTTTTTAATAAATCAAATGAATTCTTCTAAAAGTGTTCCGAGTCTTACATTATTAATAACAGGTGAAATAACAGGAGAAATAACTTTGCAGAGGATATAATATATATAATATAACTCTGTTTTATTTACCAAGCATTTGCATGATATGAGCTGCTTCATTAGAAACCACTACAGGACACTTCTTCACTGTACATGTAACATTCAGCATCCTGATAAACAACATGTTAGTGGGTTAGAGGAGATGTTTTAGTGACAATCAGTCAATCTGGTGAAGTTAACATTACTCCTCCTCCAGTATTATTACCTGTATTTCCCATTACTCCTCTCCCAGTATTATTACCTGTATTTCCCATTACTCCTCTCCCAGTCTTATTACCTGTATTTACCATTACTCCTCTCCCAGTCTTATTACCTGTATTTACCATTACTCCTCTCCCAGTCTTATTACCAGTCTTATTACCTGTATTTACCAGTCTTATTACCTGTATTTACCAGTCTTATTACCTGTCTTATTACATGTATTTACCAGTCTTATTACATGTATTTACCAGTCTTATTACATGTATTTACCAGTCTTATTACCTGTATTTCCCAGTCTTATTACCTGTATTTCCCATATTACCTGTATTTCCCGTCAGCCACCTCCACTTGTTCCAACAGCGGCTCGAATGTTCCCAGGGAGTAGCTGTAGTAGTTAGCATCAAGTGAGAGGTCAAGGTCTACTAACATAGCTCCTCCCCAGTCTTTAACTTTGCATGTGGTGTGTCCCTACGGTAATATTCTGTTAGTCCCTCTCGCACTAGAACTAATGACGTCACACTAGAACTAATGACGTCACACTAGAACTAATAACGTCACACTAGAACTAATGACGTCATACTAGAAGTAATGACGTCACACTAGAAGTAATGACGTCACACTAGAAGTAATGACGTCACACTAGAACTAATGACGTCACACTAGAACTAATGACGTCACACTAGAACTAATGACGTCACACTAGAACTAATGACGTCACACTAGAACTAATGACGTCACACTAGAAGTAATGACGTCACACTACAATTAACGACGTCACACTAGAAGTAATGACGTCACACTACAATTAATGACGTCACACTACAATTAATGACGTCACGTTACTCCCACTAAATTACCGTGATGACAACTAGAGGTTCGTAGTCTGCCTCTAATGTTAACTTGAAGGTGTCCATATTCAGGATAAAGGTCTGCCCCAGTGGTTCCATCTGCTTGAAGGAGAAGATGTCTGACTCGTGCCCCAGTAAGTGCTTCATATTCTCCTGGATCAGACTCTGTGCTGCTTGTCTTAGATACCATCTGAAGGAGTGTAACCATGACGTTACCTTATATGGGGGGTGGGGAGGGTTACCATGGTAACCTTAGTTGTAGTGAACGGTGGATTTTGACGTATTGAACGTACGTTCCAGTCATTTTGTAGTGAACGTTATTGAACGTTAGTGAACGGCAGTGATCATCAAAAACAAAAATTCATGAAAATAAAATTTTTGAAATCTTAATTTTCCCAACTGATAATTATTAATTTTCCCAGACTGATACAAAATGAAGCAATCCTATTTCTGTGCACATATTTCTGACTTTGTCGCCATGAGCCCATGATCACACACAGTATTTATGCTACTGAACACAACTAGTAATTTATCCATAACGTTCAGAACGTGAGATGAGTTTTAGTGAACGCATGTACAGACAATTTTTAGTGAACGTTCCGTGGCCGTAAGTGCACTACAACTAAGATGGTAACATTACCTTATATGGGAATGTAACCTTATATAATGGGAGTGTTACCATGGTAACATTATTTGTCTCAGATACATAATCACTTGACAGCAAGGGAAAAGTGCTCCAGCAGAAGAGAGCTGTCACGTGTTAACAGGAACACTTTGTGACAAATGTTAAACACAATGTAACCTGTTCGTCTCGTCAATACACTCCATGTTCCACAGATTGTAAGCGTAGGCCGTGTGTTCCTTCTTAGCTGCGTTGATGGTCTCAGTAGCTGCAAACTGTCCGGACACTACTACCATAACGTTCAGAGACTCCGGACTGGGGGGAGGGGGGAGGGGGTGTTACAACGGGGGGGGGGGGGGGGGGTACACTACTACCATAACGTTCAGAGACTCCGGACGGGGGGGGGGGGGGGGGGGGGGGGGGGGGGTGTTACAACGGGGGGGGGAGGGGTACACTACTACCATAACGTTCAGAGACTCCGGACTGGGGGGGGGGGGGGGGGGTGGGGGGGGTACAACGGGGGGGGGGGGGTACACTACTACCATAACGTTCAGAGACTCCGGACTGGGGGGGGGGGGGGGGGGGGGTGTTAACGGGTGATGAATAAAAAATGGGACTACATGTTTTTTAGCCCTCAGATTCCACCTGAACAAAATTTTGATATTTTACCACAACCACCAGTTACTCTGAACGATACTCGAACAGTTTCCACCCCCATTTGATAAAATTGGTTGATCTTTGTCCCCGATAATGGTCTCGAACTAGGGGAGGGGTCCTATAAAAACTTTACAGTAAAGCTCTGTTCACAGAAGTCGCCTCACAGGTAGTTAAAGCTTCCATACCAAAAAATATTTAGCAGAGAGTATGCCGAATGTTATGCTTAAGACGAGGGTTCAACACCCATCAGCATAGCTAAAACCAGTAAGAAGATATTTGAGCTCAAAACCACCTGAGGGGTAAAATTTTACCGTGTGAAAGATCGAGGCTAGGTCAACTATCGGCTTTAGCATGGTCTATAATGGTACCACGTAAAAATCAAAGTGCTTGAAGCCTTGCCAGGTGTTGTTCCTACAAGAAAATATCCCCAAAGGGTGGAAGGTGGTTCGTTAGGATGGGGCTAGATCGTATTTTTCTGGGAAAACCACATCTTTATTTGCCATAAGGGCCAATTTCGTCCCAAAAGTTATCGACCAAAGTAAATTTTGACAATCTCAACCCATAGAGGACTTCTTTAGAGTCCTGGCAACACATGTACATGCCCGGAATATGGCTTACAAGCATACATGGGCCTTAGGGCACAAAAGAAGAGACTGCGCCAACACGATTTTAGGCCCAACTGTACAGACGGATTTTTGAGCTTGATGAAAGAAGCCCTCATGAACCAATCAAAATGGGCTCATGGGCGCTTGTCATTGACCATACTCGTTCAAAATTGCCCGTTTTACAACGCTGTTTCATTGGTTTGAACCAAAAATAGTTTTATCGACACTAAAAAGACCCTTGAAAAAAGTCCCATTTTTTAGTCATCACCCGTTACAACGGGGGGGGGGGGTACACTACTACCATAACGTTCAGAGACTCCGGACTGGGGGGAGGGGGTGTTACAACGGGGGGGGGGGGGGGGGGCGGGGTACACTACTACCATAACGTTCAGAGACTCCGGACTGGAGGGAGGGGGGTGTTACAACGGGGGGGGGGGTACACTACTACCATAACGTTCAGAGACTCCGGACTGGGGGGAGGGGGTGTTACAACGGGGGGGGGGCGGGGTACACTACTACCATAACGTTCAGAGACTTCGGACTGGGGGGAGGGGGTGTTACAACGGGGGGGGGGGGGGGGGTACACTACTACCATAACGTTCAGAGACTCCGGACTGGAGGGAGGGGGGTGTTACAACGGGGGGGGGGGGGGGGTACACTACTACCCATAACGTTCAGAGACTCCGGACTGGGGGGAGGGGGTGTTACAACGGGGGGGGGTACACTACTACCATAACGTTCAGAGACTCCGGACTGGGGGGAGGGGGTGTTACAACGGGGGGGGGGGGGGGGTACACTACTACCATAACGTTCAGAGACTCCGGACTGGGGGGAGGGGGTGTTACAACGAGGGGGGGGGATACACTACTAACATAACGTTCAGAGACTCCGGACTGGGGGAGGGGGTGTTACAACGAGGGGGGGGATACACTACTAACATAACGTTCAGAGACTCCGGACTGGGGGGGGGGGGGGTGTTACAACGGGGGGGGGGGGGGTACACTACTAACATAACGTTCAGAGACTCCGGACTGGGGGAGGGGGTGTTACAACGGGGGGGGGGGGGGGGTACAACGGGGGGGGGGGTACACTACTAACATAACGTTCAGAGACTCCGGACTGGGGGGGGGGAGGGGGTGTTACAACGGGGGGGGGGTACACTACTAACATAACGTTCAGAGACTCCGGACTGGGGGGAGGGGGTGTTACAACGGGGGGGGGGGGGGGGGTACACTACTAACATAACGTTCAGAGACTCCGGACTGGGGGGAGGGGTGTTACAGACGGGGGGGGGGGGGGGGGGTACACTACTACCATAACGTTCAGAGACTCGGACTGGGGGGAGGGTGTGTTACAGACGGGGGGGTACACTACTAACATAACGTTCAGAGACTCCGGACTGGGGGAGGGGTGTTACAACGGGGGGGGGGGGGGGGTACAACGGGGGGGGTACACTACTTACATAACGTTCAGAGACTCCGGACTTGGGAGGGAGGGGGTGTTACAGACGGGGGGGGGGTACACTACTACCATAACGTTCAGAGACTCCGGACTGGGGGAGGGGGTGTTACAACGGGGGGGGGGGGGGGGTACAACGGGGGGGGGGGGGGGGTACACTACTTACATAACGTTCAGAGACTCCGGACTTGGGAGGGAGGGGGTGTTACAGACGGGGGGGGGGTACACTACTACCATAACGTTCAGAGACTCCGGACTGGGGGAGGGGTGTTACAACGGGGGGGGGGGGGGGTACACTACTAACATAACGTTCAGAGACTCCGGACTGGGGGGAGGGGGTGTTACAACGGGGGGGGGGGGGGGGTACAACCACAATAACGTTCAGAGACTCCGGACTGGGGTACGCAAGTTAATACGGTTTACACGGAACCCAAAGACAAAGTAGAAAATATCTGTAGACTTAACAAAATACTGACCTGATATTAAAAACGAGATCTGATATGTTTAAATCAACGTTCTCCTTCTCTCCCTCCGTCTTGTTGTATAACATGATCACGTCACACGGCTGAGGAAACATGTTTAGAAGGGACAAAGATAATATTGTGTAACAGAATAAGGAAAATTAGCACTAAATTATTAATATTTGTCCTTTTTCCCTGATTTCACTTAGAATATTACCTGTAGAAGCAGATAGATAGAGCTTAGTCTGTAGAGATACTGACAGATAAACAGTGTTATCTGCTCTACTTTGATCCTGGAGATAAATACGTTAACTTAATTAATGAAATAACTAAATAACTAAATAACTAAATAACTAAATAAACAAATAACTAAATAACTAAATAAACAGATAACTAAATAAACAAATTAATAAAAAATAAATAAATAAATAAATAAATAAATAAACAAATAAATAAATAAATAAATAAATAAATAAATAAATAAATAAATAAATAAATAAATAAATAAATAAATAAATAAATAAATAAATAAATAAATAAATAAATAAATAAATAAATAAATAAATAAATAAATAAATAAATAAATAAATAAATAAATAAATAAATAAATAACTTAATCAATAACTAACGATTACATGGCAAGATTTTTAGTAATTCCGACAAATCGTAATACAAATTAGATTAATAAATAACTGAATAAATGAATAACTAACTGAATAGCAGATTGCTCCTCCCTCTGATTGAATTTCAGCTCCACACCGGTTCTGAGTAGTAAAGCTTGTGTTTTCCAGTTTGAGTGGTTACTAAGGAACACCAACTCAGGGTTGTTAACAACCATCGATACCTGTTATATATAGAATGTTAGTGAGGGTGGGAGGGAGGGAGGGAGTGAGGGAGGGAGGGAGGGAGGGAGGGAGGGAGGGATGGAGGGAGGGAGGGAGGGAGGGAGGGAGGGAGGGAGGGAGGGAGTGAGGGAGGGAGGGAGGGAGGGAGGGAGGGAGTGAGTGAGGGAGGGAGGGAGGAGGGAGGGAGGGAGGGAGGGAGGGAGGGAGGGAGGGAGGGAGGGAGGGAGGGAGGGAGGGAGGGAGGGAGGGAGGGAGGGAGGGAGGGAGGGAGGGAGGGAGGGAGGGAGGAGGGAGGGAGGGAGGAGGGAGGGAGGGAGGGAGGGAGGGAGGGAGGAGGGAGGGAGGGAGGGAGGGAGGGAGGGAGGGAGGGAGGGAGGGAGGGAGGGAGGGAGGGAGGGAGGGAGGGAGGGAGTGAGGGAGGTGGGAGTGAGGGAGGGTGGGACGGAGGGAGGGACGGAGGGAGGGACGGACGGACGGACGGACGGACGGACGGACGGACGGACGGACGGATGGACGGACGGACGGGAGGGAGGGAGGGAGGGAGGGAGGGAGGGAGGGAGGGAGGGAGGGAGGGAGGGAGGGACCTGAAGTGTTGCTGAGCTTGGTGGCTGCGTTTCGACCTGAATTTCCCTATTTCCAAAACATCGTTGTTCTCTTGCGGAGTCGTTCCAGCTGAATCTGTATTTTAGAAACATCAGATTTCGAACATATTTATTTTCTTCTAAATTTTGTTATCATATTATGTGATATCAACATTTATCTTATATCCACCCGGCGGGTTAAAAGCGTGGTTATCAAATATGCAGGTACCTGCGGTGTAGGGGGAGACTCTAAAGAATGTGATAATGTTGTTGATGAACTCCCAGCTAACCACCAGATGGGTGTCGTTTATTTTAGAGTCCACAATAATGTCACCCTCTTCACTGAGATCCACTGTCGCTATCATCTGTAAATAATGGAGGTATCATGCAACTATCTTTCTATTTAGACAGGAATCTATCTGACTACAACATGTGACTCCAACATGTGACTACAACATGTGACTCCAACATGAGACTACAGCATGTTACTCCAACATGTGACTACAACATGTGGCTACAACATGTGACTCCAACATGTGACTACAACATGTGACTACAACATGTGACTCCAACATGTGACTACAACATGTGACTACAACATGTGACTCCAACATGTTACTACAACATGTGACTACAACATGTGACTACAACATGTGACTACAACCTGTGACTACAAAATGTGACTACAACATGTGACTACAACATGTGACTACAACATGTGACTACAACATGTGACTACAACATGAGACTACAACATGCGACTACAACATGTGACTCCAACATGAGACTACAACATGTGACTACAACATGTGACTCCAACATCTGACTAAAACATGTGACTCCAACATGTGACTCCAATATGTGACTCCAACATGTGACTACAAACACGTGACTATAACACGTGACTACAACATGTGACTACAACATGTGACTACAACATGTGACTACAAATGTGACTACAACATGTGACTACAACATGTGACTACAACATATGACTACAACATGTGACTACAACATGTGACTACAACATGTGACTACAACATGTGACTACAACATGTGACTACAACATGTGACTACAACATGTGACTACAACATGTGACTACAACATGTGACTACAACATGTGACTACAACATGTGACTACAACATGTGACTACAACATGTGACTACAACATGTGACTCCAACATGTGACTCCAACATGTGACTACAACATGTGACTACAACATGTGACTACAACATGTGACTACAACATGTGACTTCAACATGTGACTACAACATGTGACTACAACATGTGACTACAACATGTGACTACAACATGTGACTACAACATGTGACTACAAAATGTGACTACAACATGTGACTCCAACATGTGACTACAACATGAGACTACAACATGTGACTCCAACATGTGACTCCAACATGAGACTCCAACATGCGACTACAACATGTGACTCCAACATGTGACTCCAACATGTGACTCCAACATGTGACTCCAACACGTGACTCCAACACGTGACTACAACATGTGACTACAACATGTGACTACAACACGTGACTACAACACGTGACTACAACATGTGACTACAACATGTGACTACAACATGTGACTACAACATGTGACTACAACATGTGACTACAACATGTGACTACAACATGTGACTACAACATGTGACTACAACATGTGACTACAACATGTGACTACAACATGTGACTACAACATGTGACTACAAACATGTGACTACAACATGTGACTACAACATGTGACTACAACATGTGACTACAACATGTGACTACAACATGTGACTACAACATGTGACTACAACATGTGACTACAACATGTGACTACAACATGTGACTACAACATGTGACTACAAACATGTGACTACAACATGTGACTACAACATGTGACTACAACATGTGACTACAACATGTGACTACAACATGTGACTACAACATGTGACTACAACATGTGACTACAACATGTGACTACAACATGTGACTACAACATGTGACTACAACATGTGACTACAACTTGTGACTACAACATGTGACTACAACATGTGACTACAACATGTGACTACAACATGTGACTACAACATGTGACTACAACATGTGACTACAACATGTGACTACAACACGTGACTACAACATACCATAGGTTGGGGTAGATCCAGACTTATGGCACGTCTGGCAGGTATAGCAGAGCTAGTCCCGCTCAAACTAGTGATAAGGTGAGCTTCCTCGTTAGCTAGTTGCTTGTGTGCTAGTATCCTGGTTAGTGGGTAGTAGTGTAAAGAATACGTGAAGAATTTTACTAAGCAGGGGGAGGGGGAGGATGGGGGCGGAGACAGAGGGGAACCCGGACAAAGTGAAAGTGAAAGCGAAAGTAGAGGTGAAAGTGAAACCCGGACTCAGTGTCCTCCACTCTCACGTCCCATATAAGCAAGGACAAAGGTAATCGCGGCATGTGCGGAATCGCGATTTTCCTCATTCTCCGCGACAAATCGCAATTTTTTCAGCTCTCCGCGAAAAATCGCATTTTCCTTTATCCTAAATCTGAGGGCCAAATGTTAGTACGTTCTTTATAAGTTGTATATGGAACCAATCACAGCCTTCCGATTTCCGAATGTAGGTACGAACTAGGAACCGACTGGATGTTCGCGCAGCTGAATCCGGTTCTGGCCGGATATCCGAGTAGCATGAAACGTGGACAAAATCAGTTTCCAGAAAAACTTTTAAAAATTTTGACGTTACGAATCTTTGGTCAGAGTCATCCTCGATAAGTACCTCTGAAGGCAGAGCTCCCGAGCTCGTATTGCAAAGGGGAGGCCTGCCTTCCGAGATCGGATTACAAGGAGGAAGCCTCGAGTCCAAAATTGTACATCGAGGAGTTGAGTTTGTACTAGGAACGTGATATAAGTGAAAGTGAAAGTGAAAGTGAAAGTGTCCTCCACTCTCACGTCCCATATAAGTAAAAGTGAACGTGAAACCCACCTCTGAATCCCGGACTCCATGACGTGAGTGTCAGTGTCCTCCACTCTCACGTCCCATATAAGTAAAAGTGAAAGTGAAAGTGAAAGTGAAACCCACCTCTGAATCCCGGACTCCATGACCTGAGTGTCAGTGTCCTCCACTCTCACGTCCCAGATCCTCACCTCCACTCTCTTGCCCCCCTCACCAAACATCCTCAAATCCAGGGTTACATTCCTTGCTTCAGAGTACATTATTATCTTATCTTCTTCTCTATTTCCCGATAGTGGGTCTGAGATATCCTGGACAGAGGAAACATGGGTTAATCACCTAGCAACCACTCAGTAACATATCAACCACTCAGTAACCTAGCAACCACTCAGTAACCTAACGATCACTCAGTAACCTAGCAACCACTCAGTAACCTAGCAACCACTCAGTAACCTAGCAACCACTCAGTAACCTAGCAACCACTCAGTAACCTAGCAACCATTCAGTAACCTAGAAACTGCACATAATAATATATAATCCACCTACCAGTATCTTCTCATCAGTGTAGAGGAGGCACACTGCTAGTTCTACCTGTACCTCTACTCTGATATCTCCCACTCCTCCCTCCCCAGTCATAGTACCATCCTCACTCTCCACACTGGTCTCTAGATCTGCACTACTGGGTACTGGGTTCTTAGGAGCTGGTGCTACCTGAGAGGTGAAGTGTTAGGGGGTTAAGTTACTGTAGAGACTAACCGTACAGCAGGTTAAGTAGAAACCCTAAAACTACCTGCAAATAACAGTAAATACTTTAATATTAAATTAAATACCGCGCAGAAAAAAAAATGGTAGTACGGAGGAAAGACCAAATATTTATTAAGTTTATGAGCCGTACACATAGCTACATAGTGTATTATCTTGCTTACTATAACGAGGATTTTACTTGCAGGGCTTTATCTATACTATAATATACTATACTATAATACTTACTCCTTCATAAAACTATATATCTATACTGTACTACTGGTGGAGTGTGAGACTCGCTTTACTTTTGCACGTGATCAATATTTTAATCAATTTTACGGTTATTTTGATGTTTTATAAATGATTCACCCACTCATAAGAGCGAAAAAATATTACCAATTTTACGGTTACTTGAAACTTAATCACTAACATTACCTTATCTGGTAGTGTTCCTATGGTATCATTACCTTATATGGTAGTGTTGCTATGGTAACACCAATTGACTGGTTACCTACCCTAACAGATGTGTTTAAGTATTACTGTGAGTTTTGTTGTGGTTGTTATGGTAACTAGTAGACTCCGTTTTGCTATTTTCGGTAGTTTTATAGCTGGGTATGTCAATGTGTGGTGAAACCATTTTATGTTTCATATAATTTCCTGTTAGCCACTCTATTGGTGCAGTAGTGGAGTAGTGCTGTACAGTGCACAAACCCATGCACTAATATATTCATATTGATATCTATAGCTCATTTAGTGTATTCTTTCTACACACCACTAAGATACAGTTTAATCCAAGGAAATCATATTGTCATGATGTAAAAGGTCAGATCAGGCCAGATTTAATTAAAAAACAAAGGATTCTAATATTCCAATTGTGAGAGAGAGAATAACCTTCTCCCAGTGTATTGTGAGGAGCCTGGTTGGTAGCAATACTGGGTTACAGCAGCGCAACCTCTCTATTCTTGTGGTTTAACCTTTTGTAATCCTGTATCTCTGCATTGTTGTGGTGTAACCTTTTGTAATCCTGTATTGATCGGCCAGACTCGCGCGCTATTATTAGCTAAGATTGTGGACATCATGGTCTCGCTATTAAGCCTCACTGTCGCTATTCTTCTTGATCCAAGTAACCGCTCCTGGACTTTTATTTGCACTCGGTAGACTACATGGTGTTTAACTGTAGAGTAAGGGTGTGCAAATACAGGGTGTCCCAAAAAAACGCCCCAGTTAGTAACCCTCCTCATTTCCTCAATTTTCCTTTAATGTTACTCATCTCTTAGTATGTTTACATAAAGGGTTGGGAGATTTGTTTGTGACTCCTGAAAACTTGAGCAAATTATTTTGAGTCCTCATTTAAAAAAAGTCAAAAATTGTTCAAAATAGTCCCCAAATGATGGGCTCGTCCACCATTCGGAGCAAGAGGAAAAAAAAACCTTTTGTTATGAATTTTAATTGCAAACTGTTCCTATTTGTCTCATCTAACTCCTGAACACCTCAGTTCATGCTAAAAGTCCTAAGAGGTGCACACAAATGGTCATTTTCCCAGCAGGCCTAATAGGCTGGTTACAATTTGGTTTACAATTTGGGGCAGTCTTAACGTTTCAAAACTAGGATTCCATCATGGACGAAAACCATCGCCTATTCTGGGATCACACCAAGATTTCTTCGCATATCTTCAACATCAAAGAATGTTGCCCATCAAGCTCATCACCTTAATAATCCCATAATGAGTGTTTTCTGTTCGTCTGTGTGCGTGTAATTTCCGAGCGGCTTAATCAAGAAAACGGTAAGAGTTACGGGGCTGGGTTTTTCGGTAAAGTGCCGACAAAACTCTGACAAAGTTAAATGGTAAAGGGTTTTTAAATCGGTAGGTGGTTAGTGGTTTAATTGATGGTTTTGTACCACAAATGTTACATAAAATGGCTTGAGCAGCTTAATCTCCCATTACTGCATATTATGTAGGTAGCGTTGGTACATATATCATAATTACATTGTCATGAATACTATAAACTTATTAGGGGAGGGATCGCTCATATAGCGGTCTGTTTGGACTGTAGAGAGAGTTCATACTTTGATACGACAATGTAATGCATGTTTTCAAATTTGCGGGTGTGGTCCGGAGTTAATAAGGGTTAATTTCTATTGATTATTGTTTAAGATACTATTGTTTAAGATACTATTGGATACGTGAGGGCACTCCGAATAGAATTGCTCGCCTAATGCGGGTTTTGACTCAGCGGGTAATTACTCCTACCCTTTTTAACTGCGGCAGTGAAATCCCGGCCGAGGGCCGGGTTACACTAGTAATATATTAAGACGCAATGAAACTAATGGACCACGATGTATGGGGAGTCCCCATACATCCCCATTGGGGACTTGCCACTCCATGGCAACATTAAAATATATCGACTTTGTTACATCGCTTCCTGTTAATATAAAACTCCGTTGCAAATTGAACTGGGATCTGGCAATACTACACCTTAGTTTAATAAAATATGATAAATTAATGTATAACTAGACTAAAAGTCTGAAAAAATATAGAAAACAAAATAGTATACTGCTTGAAAGCTTAATAATAAACTGTGAAAGAGCAGTCAACGTAAATATGAGACTCCCAATGGTCCAAAACAAATCTCCTAACCAATGTTAACCAGATAAGCAATGAGTTAAAACTGAGAAATTAGAGGGTTATTCTTTTGTGAGTTATTAATATTAATTATAAGTTAAAGTTAGCGCAGAATAAAAAGTTTTAGAAAGCTTATAGCTAGTGTTTAATTTTTACTAAAAAATAAGTCTCAAGAAGATGAAAGTCATGACTCTGTTGGCTCTTTCTTGTTTGGCTTTGATAAAGATATCAAATGGTACGTACACTTTTATCCATCATGTTAAAATTAATTAATTATTAATTGAAATTAATTAACTAATAAACAATCCTGTTTATTAGTTTCTGCCCTAACCAGCCTGAGCATGTTTAAACATTCTTTGTAGTCATTGTTTATAAGTTAATTGCTGTATAATTCTGTATCATTTTATGAAAATTTCAGAACAAACTATTTCAAACAGTAATTGTAGTTACAGTAGTATTAGGTAGTAAACCTCCTAGTTACCATGGTTACAGTTAGTTACCATAGTATTAGGTAGTGCGCCTCCTAGTACTATTTAAGTTCCATTTGAGCAAATCACTATTTGAGTATTTGCCCTAATGGCATAGGACAAATAGTGCGCCGCATAGGACAAATAGTGCGCCTCCTAGTGCGCCGCATAGGACAAATAGTGCGCCTCCTAGTGCGCCGCATAGGACAAATAGTGCGCCTCCTAGTGCACCGCATAGGACAAATAGTGCGCCTCCTAGTGCGCCGTATAGGACAAATAGTGCGCCTCCTAGTGCGCCGTATAGGACAAATAGTGCGCCTCCTAGTGCGCCGTATAGGACAAATAGTGCGCCTCCTAGTGCGCCGCATAGGACAAATAGTGCGCCTCCTAGTGCGCCGTATAGGACAAATAGTGCGCCTCCTAGTGCGCCGTATAAGACAAATAGTGCGCCTCCTAGTGCGCCGCATAGGACAAATAGTGCGCCTCCTAGTGCGCCGCATAGGACAAATAGTGCGCCTCCTAGTGCGCCGCATAGGACAAATAGTGCGCCTCCTAGTGCGCCGCATAGGACAAATACTCAAATAGTGCTGCTCAAATATTGACCCACTGTAAAAATGTAATTATTTGTTATGGATATCAACTTATCAAGTTCAACATCATTTATTGAACTACTACTACTACTTATTGCAGTTAAAGCAACGAATGTAATTTCAGCCGGATATGCCCTAGAAGACTACAGCAAAGAGAATTGTCCGATCTGCTACAACCCCAGAGTGAACCTGCCCGATGAGTGTACACAGGATGATGCAGACAAGACAAGAACTGAAGGTATATTATACATTATACATTATACATTATACATTATACATTATACATTATACATTATACATTACACATTACACATTACACATATATACATTATACATCATACATTACATATATATGTACATTATACATATATGATGTTTCTTTTGGAGAAATCCAGTTTCAAGAGTGCTCTACCCGGGAGGGGAGCATTGTACAATGAAAACAACGATTCTACAAACTCAAAGTTTCATGCAAATGCAATCATCAGTGTCAGAATAACTTACTAAATTACTAAATCCATATTTTCCTTACAAGCTGCTTCATGAAATTAACTTAACTGAACTAAATCAAAAACAAAATCAAACGAAACGAAACGAAAATTAAATACAAGAACAAAAACTAAAATTAAAATAAAGTATTCCTAAAAGCATTTCTTCAGCATAAAATTGTTGGTGTGCCTACATTTACTTATGAGTTCCCTCCTCCTATTTAATAGATTGCCATCTTTATTTAAAATAATATAAAGTTTTTCAGTAAGGCAGAGATGACAATCTTTCGTACCCCCCTTGTACGGATGAGCATGTTTGATTATTTTCCAAGATATTTTATATGGTGTTTGTTTATCTTTCAACTCCCATATTTTCTTAGATAGCTCCGTCTGATTTCGTAGCTTCTCGAGTTTGAGAGAGCTTGTGTGTGAACTGAAACGGGTCTTTTGTTCTTGTATTTAATTTTCATTTCGTTTCGTTTGATTTTGTTTTTGATTTAGTTTAGTTTAAGTTAATTTTATGAAGGAGATTGTAAGGAAAATATGGATTTACGGGTATCGGCCTTACAAAATGACAGGCCTCACAAAATGACAGCCCACATAGACCATGCTGTAGCTTAGGTTCCCTATACATTGACCCTATTCCTTTTACTGTATGAAAGAAAAAGCATTAATTAACACTTCCCAAGGAATGATAATGACATAGAATCTATATTTCTTACATAAATATGGACGTTTTTGCTGTTCAGTCATTGCCCCGCCTAACTGTTACCCAGAATGGAGACCAAAGTTTTGAATTTAACCCCAGAAAACCAGGTACTACCATGACTTATGTCAATCAAAGACTACTCTGGTCAAATAAAAAAACTGATTTAGTGACTTTAGTAGACGAAATGACAAAAAAATGACCTAGCCTCACAAAATGACAGTGTTATGCCTCACAAAATGACAGTTTTATTTTATGATACAAAGATGGCATATTTATATTGGATGCCCCTTGCCTAATTATTGGTATTCTTAAACCCAGTAAGCTCATGATGAGCCTAAATGTGTTTGTTTGATCATCAATTTTGATCAAAATGCCTCACAAAATGACACCGAAAAGCCTTACAAAATGACAATGTTTCAGATTGAATTATTTTCATCATCTAAAATGGATCAGAGACAGTCAATATAAGAAGGAGTTCAAAATATTCATAATCTGACAGTTAACAATCAAGTAGCATTAAAAAAGTGCAGTTCTGATATCAAAACTTTGATTTCAAACTCTTTGATTTCAAACTCTGATTTCAAAACTCAACGAAATAAAGCTTCTATTTTGTGAAAGCAGAGAGTAATAACAACTCCTAAAACATGTCAAACGTTAACTAAACACTGAAAAGTGATCTATCCAGTCATAGAAAATATCAAATATAACCAAATACTGTGTTCAAGTATGAAAACAAAAAATGATTTTTACGCCTCACAAAATGACTTTTTTTAAAATTTTTCAAAGTATAAAAAATGTTCCTTTTTAAATATATTTTGGTAAAAGCAGAACTGGTATAATATAAACAACATATATATCTAACAGTAAGACACGTGAAAGAATAATGAAACTTTTTCCCAAATCGGATTTGAAGTGATGCCGTTTTGGGTTGTCATTTTGTAAGGCACTATCTCACGCGAAATTGCCCAACTTTTTTTAATCATCCTTTTTCCTGTAAAAGCTATTCTAATCTTCAATCTATTATATTTATCTAACTGTCCTAGGTGAAATCACATTTCTATAGGCTGCTGTTAAAAAATGACAGCCGTGACGAAATTGTCATTTTGTAAGGCATGTTTTTTTGGAAGATTTCAAAGATGACAATTTTTATCGCAAAATTTACGGTTTTTCAATCAAATCAACCCCCGGGAAGAAAAATATACCTGTTGAACTACCTATCTGGATAATAAAACATGAACAAAACTCATTTTTGTGCATTTCAGAACCATCTCCTTTTTCGTGTCATTTTGTAAGGCCGATACCCGTAGTAATTTAGTAAGTTATGCTGACACTGATGATTGCATTTGCATGAAACTTTGAGCTTGTAGAATCGTTGTTTTCATTGTACATAATACATATATACATTATACATTACACAGTATACACATATATACATTATACCTTATACATTATACATTACACATTATACATTTCACATTGCACATTATACATTACACATTACACATATATACATTATACATTATACATTATACATTACAAAAATGCAGACAAGAAAAGAACTAACGCTAAAGGTAATATTGGTAACTACTACTACTACTGTATAATGTATACTATATTGATAAACAATCATAAACAATCAACAATGAAATATAATATTAACTATCAAAATATTAAGACCAGCCGATAAAATGAGAAAACTCATTTTGTTTTATCCTAGCGTGTGATGAGGCTGAGTTTTGTTACATTATGAAGTTGGAAGAAGGTGCTGTTCCAGACGCAGAAAGTACAAACACGAACTATCATAAAGACTACAATGCCCAATTTCTTTGTGCCACCGAAGAGGGTAAGCTTCGTAACTTTTATTATATTTTTTGTATTCCAGTAGTATATAATATAGTTCATCATGTCAGTAGTTAGTACATGTATTTACATTTACATTTTAGAATATGAAAACATATCCCTGCTCTTGACATTATGTATATTATAGTATATATATATATACATTGTACATTACACATTATACATTATACATTTTACATATGAGGGACCACATGCAAAACTGGTATATCTGTTTTTGATAGTTTTGAGATAAATGTATTTTACTGATTTAAAGATTCTATATCATGTGTAAGAAACACTTCTTAAAAATGGTATATCTGTCTATATACCATTTTTAAAACTAGAATTGTACCAAAACTGGTATATCTCAAGATATACCATTTTTTCTATATTATAAACAATAAAATAATTTAACTGAGAATGGTATATCTGAAGATATACCATTTGGGTTGGCTAAAGTCTATAAAATGTGTATAGATATACCGGTTTTATAGAAGATAAGTTTCTTGAAGGTGGTCTATCTGCAGGTATACCATTTTGTTTTCATGATTGTTAAAAGCTAAAATGGTATATTGTAACATATACCAGTTTTGGAAAAATAAAATTTCACTTTTTTTCAAAAATTTCTTCAAAATTGTTCAAAAAAAGTTCCAAAGATGCACCCTTTCACCCTGAAGACTATGAGCTACCTGCGCAAAATTGGTATACGTTCAGATATACCGGTTTTGCATGTGGTCCCTCATATATACATTACACAAAGTTTTTATTGAGTGTAAATCAATAAAATCCCTAGAATTCGGAAATATGAAGCGTAAAGGACAGACAGTCAGAGATGTGGAAGTTACAACTGCTGCGCCCACAGGCTCAACAACAGGAACAAGTAAGTGGTTGTTGGACGAATATCAACTTTCCGTTTCAAAGCTGATAAATAAACTCAGTTTATAAATAATTATTTATTATCAATAATAATTTTTGTTATCAATAAACTTTCAAATTGTTACACAAATACATCATTTTATTTCAAAGAAAATTTCGCTGAATGACCTCACATCTTTACAAGCCTTGAAAAGTGACCCAGTGTAAACAAAATTGGGGACACCGAAACACCAGTTGACCAGTAAACTGGTCATAGCAATTACATCGGGCCCTATATGCAGTGCAGTGCCTCCCCCTTCACATCCCCCCTTCACATCTGATTTAAAATTATGGTGGATTGAGTAACCCCGTTAGGTCTAATTTTTATTGAAAGTATTGGACAGATGCTCTGTAAAAACAGCAGCAATGCAGGGGGAGTCACCCCCACCCCCTCTGTAAAAAACAGCAGAAATACAGGGGGAGTCACCCCCGCCCCCTCTGTAAAAACAGCATCAATACAGGGGGAGACCCCCCCTCTAATAACAGCAGCAATACAGGGGAGTCACCCCAAACCCCCCCCCCTCCCCCCCATTCAAATAACAGCAGAAATACAGGGGGAGTCACCCCCGCCCCCTCTGTAAAAACAGCATCAATACAGGGAGGAGTCACCCCCCCCTCTGTAAAAACAGCATCAATACAGGGGGAGACCCCCCCCTCTAATAACAGCAGCAATACAGGGGAGTCACCCCAAACCCCCCCCCCCCCCCCATTCAAATAACAGCAGCAATACAGGGGGTGACACCCCCCCCCCCCAATATAAACCTAAACGATCTTATTTAAAACTCCTCCTCTCACATTTAGTTGTGGGTCAAGAGCCGGGAGCCCCCATACAAACCTAGACCATCCCCTTTTTGCTGCTGTTCTTTGCTCTCTCAGTAAGGTAAGGCATGTAGAGATTAAGTGTATCTTCTCATTGCAGTTGAGATAGTTACGGAGGAACCGACTGAAACCGCACAAGAAGTCACATCTTGCGGAGCGGGAAAACAGCCGGGCGCAGAGACAGGATGTGAGAAATGTCCGGAAAATACCTACAGCGTGGATGGGGCAGCTTGTGTAGAGTGTCCTGGTGAAACACCCGTTACTAACGTGCCCAGAGGGGCTACCAGTCCTGAGCAGTGTTTTGCTGGTTAGCTTTTATACACCTTCCTCTTCAACTGTTGTTCTACACACAGTGTACTTCACAGTGTACTTTACAGTGTACTTTACAGTATACTTTTTCTACATTTCACCTCAGGTAGTAAACTCTAAGTATATTAAATATAAACTATCTATAACTATAAACATATCCTACTATATACCCTATATAAAAGTATAAACATACCCCAGGTTGTGCTGCTGGAAAGTTCCTTCTTAAGAACGGCAAGTGTGAAGATTGTGCTGACAACTACTACAGTACTGACGCTGTACACAACACTCAGTGTGAGGAGTGCCCTGCTGGGTCCGCTAAACAACCTGGCAGCTTGCCTGGCAACGACTGTACAACACTAAGTACGATATTATCACCATGGTAACATCCATTAGCTTATTATGGTGTACGAAAATATCACCATGGTGAATTTGGTGATATGTAATAAGGAAAATATCACCATGGTACAAAAGTTTATAAGTCCCAAAACATGTTCCTGTCTAACTATTCCCACTATTTGCTGTTAACTTGTAAAGTAAAGTAGAAGTGTATGCCAAGATAACCCCCTAATAATCCCTCCCCCCAGACTGTGAACCCCCCTCCCCCCACGGCCCCTAATAATCCCTCCCCCCAGGCTGTGAACCTGGTAACTTCCCCTAATAATCCCTCCCTCCAGACTGTGAACCCCCCCCCCCCCCACGGCCCCTAATAACCCCCCCCCCCCCCCAGACTGTGAACCCCCCGCCCCTAATAATCCCTCCCCCCAGACTGTGAACCTGGTAACCTCTCCTAATAATCCCTCCCTCCAGGCTGTGAACCTTGTAACCTCCCCTAATAATCCCTCCCCCCAGGCTGTGAACCTGGTAACCTCTCCTAATAATCCCTCCCTCCAGGCTGTGAACCTGGTAACCACCCCTAATAATCCCTCCCTCCAGGCTGTGGACCTGGGTAACCCCCTAATAATCCCTCCCTCCAGACTGTGAACCTGGTAACCTCCCCTAATAATCCCTCCCTCCAGACTGTGAACCTGGTAACCTCCCCTAATAATCCCTCCCTCCAGGGTTTGGGCCGGTTAAAACCCCCCCAATTTTTTTCCCCCCCCCCCAGGGGGAAAACCCGGAACCCCCCTAAAATCCCCCCCTCCAACCCGGGGGGAACCCCGTAACCTCCCCCCAATAAAACCCTCCCCCCCAGGCTTGGGGGACCCCGGGTAACCCCCCTAATAACCCTCCCAGGCTGGGGAACCGGGAACCCCCCCCAAAAACCCCCCTCCAGGCTGGGAAACCCGGTAAACCCCCCAATAAACCCCTCCCTCCCCCGCTTTTGAAACCTTGGGAAAACCCCCTAATAAACCCTCCCCCAGAAAATTTAACCCCCCCCCCCCAATAAACCCCCCTCCCCCGTGAACCGGGGAACCCCCCCCAAATAAAACCCCCCTCCCGGTGGGGAAAAAATGGTTTAAACCCCCTTAAAAAACCCTCCCCCAGACTGGGGGGAACCCCCCCCCCCTAAAAAATCCCCCCTCCCCCCTGTTAACCCTTTAAACCCCCCCAATAATCCCCCCTCCACCCGTAAAACCCGGGAACCCCCCCAAAAATCCCTCCCCCCCGGGTGTGAAAACCGGTAACCCCCCTAAAACCCTCCCCCCCCTGTGAAAACCTGGTTTAACCCCCCCCCAATTATCCCTACCCCCCCGGTGGAACCTGGGGAACCCCCCCAATAATCCCCCCCTCCCCCCAACCCGTGAACCTGGGAACCCCCCTAAAATCCCCCCCCGGGTTGAACCTGGGAAAACCCCCCCAATTTAAACCCCCCCCCTCCAGGTGGGAACCGGAACCCCCCAAAAAATCCCCCCCTCCAATGGGAACCGGTAACCCCCCCAAAAAAATCCCTCCCCCCAACGGTGAAACCGGGAAAACCCCCCCAAATAAACCCCCCCCCCCCCCGGGGGAACCCCCCGCCCCTTTAAAAATCCCTCCCCCCAAAAATGGAACCTGGTTTAAACCCCTCCAATAATCCCCCCTCCACTTTAACCTGTAAAACCCCCCCTAATAATTTCCCCCCCCCCAAGGGGGGGAACCCCCCCCCGGGCCCCAAAATCCCCCCCCCACTGTAACCCGGGAACCCCCCAAAAACCCCCCTTTCCCCTTAACCGGAACCCCCCCCTAAAAAATTCCCCCCCCCCCAAACGGAAAAAGGTAAATCCCCCCTAAAAAATCCCTCCCCCCCAACTGGAACCGGTAAAAACCCCCCCAAATCCCTCCCCCAGCTGGGCCTGGTTTAACCCCCCAAAAACCCTTTCCCCCCCAGGCTGTGAACCCCGGTAACCCCCCCCCAAAATCCCCCCTCCAACTTGAACCTGGGGAACCCCCCTAAAATTCCCCCCCCCAGCCTTTGGGCCCCGGGAACCCCCCCCCCAATTTAAACCTTTCCCTCCCCGTGAACCCTGGGAACCCCCCCAATAAAACCCCCCCCCAGGCGGAACCGGTTTAAACCCCCCCCAAAAACCCCCCCCCCAGGGGTGAACCTGGGGGCCTCCCAAAATTCCCCCCTACAGAAATGGGGAAACCCCCCCCCTTTTAAAAATCCCTCCCTCCCGGGGTTTTTGAACCCCGGAACCCCCCCCCAATAAACCCCCCTCCAGGGTGTGAAAAATGGGAACCTCTCAAAATTCCCTCCCCCCGCGGAACCCCCCCCCTAATAATTTCCCCCCCCCCGGGGGTTTAAACCTGGGAACCCCCCTAATAATTCCCCCCCTCCCCGGGGTGAAAAACCCTTAAACCCCCCCCAAAACCCTCCCCCCCAGGCCGGGGAAACCCGGGAACCCCCCCCCCTAATCCCCCCTCCCGGGTGGGAACCTGGTCCCCCCCCCCCAATTATCCCTCCCCCAGGGTGGAACCTGTTAAACCCCCCCCAATTTTCCCTCCCCCCGGGTGGGGGAAACCGGGGAACCCCCCTTTTAATTTTTCCCCTTTCCCCCAGCGGGGAACCGGTTTAAAACCCCCCCCAATAATCCCTCCCCCACTGGGGAACCTGGTAACCCCCATAAATCCCCCCCCCCCCCGGGTTTTGGGAAAAATGGAAAACCCCCCCTTTAAAAATCCCTCCCCTTTCCCGGGTGGGAAACCCGGGGAAAACCCCCCTAAAAAACCCCCCCCAGACCGGGAAAACCCCCCGGCCCCCCAATAACCCCCCCCCCAAACCCGTGAACCGGGGGAACCCCCCTAATAACCTCCCCCCCAGGGGTGAACCTGGTAAACCCCCCCTAATAATCCCCCCCCCCAGGCGGTTAACCCCCCCCCCCCGGCCCCCCTTTAAACCCTCCCCCAGGCGTGGGAAACCGGGTTTAACCCCCCCCAATAAACCCTCCCCCTGGGGAACCCGGTTTAACCCCCCCAAACCCTCCCTCCAGGGGGTTGGGGCCCCGGTTTAACCCCCCCCCCCTAACCCCCCCCCCCGGCCGTGGAAAACCCTTAACCCCCCAAAAAACCCCCCCCCCCCCACGGGGGAAACCCGGTAAACCCCCCAAAAAAATCCCTCCCCCCAGGCTGGGGGAAACCCCTTAAAACCCCCTAATTTAAACCCTCCCCCAGGCTTGAACCTGGTAAAAACCCCCAAAAAATCCCTCCCTCCAGGGTTTGGAAACCCCCTAAAAACCCCCCCAATAATCCCCCCCCCCAGGGGGTGAACCTTTTTAACCCCCTAAAATTTCCCCCCCTCCAGGGGGGAAACCGGGTTTAACCCCCCCAAAAAACCCTCCCCTCCCCGGCTGGGACCTGGAAAAAACCCCCAAATAACCCCCCCTCCCCCCGGGGTTTAACCAGGGAACCTCCCCTAAAAATCCCTCCTCCAGCGGAACCTGGGGAACCTCCCCAATAACCCTCCCTCTAAGGGTGTGAACCTGGTTAAAACCCCCCTTTTTAATCCCTTTCCCCCCCCGACGTGCCTGGTAAACCCCCCCCAATAACCCTCCCTCCCCCGGCTGGGAACCCGGGAACCTCCCCAAAAATCCCCCCTCCCCGACGGGAAAAACCCGGAACCCCCCCTAAAACCCCCCCCCCAGCTGGAACCCGGGGGAACCCCCCTAATAAACCCCCCCCCCACGGGAAACTGTTACCCCCCCCCCAAAATTCCCCCCCTCCAGCGTGAAACCCGGGGGAACCCCCCCAAAAAAATCCCCCCCCTCCCAAACCTGGGGGAACCGGGGGAACCCCCAATAATTTCCCCCCCCCCAGGCCCGTGAAACCCCGGTTTCCCCCCCCAAAAATCCCCCCCCACTTGAACCAGGAACCCCCCTAACAAACCCTCCCCCAGGCTGTAACCGGGAACCCCCCTAAATAATTTCCCCCCCGCCAGGCGGGAACCGGAACCCCCCCCTTTTAAACCCCCCCCCAGGCCGTTAACCGGGGAAACCCCCCCAATAAACCCCTCCCCCCAGGCTGGGGAAAACCCGGTAAAACCCCCCCCAAAAAATCCCCCCTCCAGGCTGTGAAAAGGGGAACCCCCCCAATTAAACCCCCCCCAGGCCGGGAACCCGGGAACCCCCCCTAAAACCCCCCGCCCCGGGCTGGAACCCCCCCCCCCCCGGCCCCCCAATAAACCCCCCCCTCCGGGGGGAACCCCGGAACCTCCCAAAAAAATCCCCCCCCTCCTACTGTGAAAACCCGGGAAAACCCCCCAAAAAAATCCCCCCTCTAGGCCTGGGGAAACAAAGGTAACCCCCCTAAAAATCCCCCCCCAGGCCCGGGAAAACCCGGGAACCCCCCCCGAATAACCCCCCCTCCAGGCTGGGAACCAGGTAAACCCCCCCAAAATCCCCCCCCCCCAGACTGGGGGAAAACCCGGGAACCCCCCCCAATAATCCCTCCCCCCAGCTATAAACTGGAAAACCCCCCATTTAAACCCCCTCCCCCAGGTGGTTTAAAACCGGGGAACCCCCCCCCCCTTTTTTTTCCCTTTTCTTTTCCCCGGCGGGGGGCCTGGGAACCCCCCAAAATCCCTCCCTCCAGGGTGAACCTGGGAACCCCCTAATTTCCCTCCCTCCAGGGGTTTAACCGGGAACCCCCCCCCCCCCCAAAAACCCCCCCCCCCCCAGGCTGGGAACCAGGGGGCCCCCCTTAAAAATCCCTCCCTCCCGGGGTGGGAACCGGGAACCCCCCCAAAAATCCCTCCCTCCAGGGTGTGGGAAACCGGGGGCGCCCCAAAAACCCTCCCCCCGGTTGAACCGGGGGCCCCCTTTAAACCCCCCCCCGGGGTGTGGGCCCCGGAAAACCCCCCCAATAATCCCTCCCCCGCTGTAACCTGGGAACCCCCCCAAAAAAATCCATCCCCCGGGGGAAAACCGGGGAAACCCCCCCAAAAAAATCCCTCCCTCCCCGGGGTTTAACAGGGGGAAACCCCCAATAACCCCCCCCCCAGGGTGGAACCGGAAAGCCCCCCAATAATTTCCCCCCCTCCCGGCGGGGGAACCTGGTAAAACCCCCCTAATAATCCCTCCCCCAAAGGGTCTGACCTGGTTAACCCCCCCAAAAAACCCCCCTTCCCCCCAGGGGTGTGGGAAACCGGTAAAACCCCCCCCAAAAAATCCCTCCCCCGGCTGGTGAACCGGTAACCCCCCTAAAAACCCCCCCCCGACTTGGGGGAAACCGGGGAACCCCCCCCCAAAAAAACCCCCCCCCAGACTGGGACCTGGTAAACCCCCCAATTAAAACCCCCCTCCAAGCTGGGGGAAAACCCAGTAAACCCCCCCAATAAAACCCCCCCTCCCCAAATGGGGAACCAGGGAACCCCCCC